GAGGCGGGCCGGGAGTTGGGCGTCCGGTGGCCGTCGAACCGCGACTCGACTGACTGGCGGCGAGGCGGCCGACAGCCGGTCGGCTGCCGACCGGGCCCGTATCGGTGGGCGCCGATCGATGCCAGCTGCGCCTGGCGAGGCCGCCGCGGGAGGGGGGGGGGGGGTGCTGGGCAGGCCACGGTACGTCCCCCTGGGCGATATATTTGGCTCCACGGTCTGCTGGGCAACACTTAACCCGCGTGTGACTGGGGTATTTTCCATAACGCGGGTGAGGGGGAGGTTCTACAGCCCTGAGCCCACCCCCTCCTATCTCCGAAACTACTGGGCCGGTTGTCGAAATTCGAACGGCGGCTGATAGCCCTGAAAAATTTGCTGTCGAGCGAAACCAAATTTCATTGACCTCGAGGTCAACGATGACGTCAGAGGTCAGGTGAAAGTAAAAATTATCAATATTTTGGGTTTTTCACAATTAACCCCCGACCCGTTAAGGGGCCCAAAGGCCGGCCGCCCTGTGTTTTTTCGCAGATAACTCAGAAACGGCTGCGAATTTTGACTTGAAACTTTCAGTACCTCTCCGGACATTAATTTTACACAACTCCTGAAAAAATTAGGTCCCAGGTCATCTCAGCTCACGAGCTATAGATGTCAAACTGAGGTCATGTTCGGCGATTGTTCGTCGAAAAAGTTGTTCACGGAGAAAAATCGTAGAAAATCAGTTTCAACTTAGCGACTCAAAAAATGAACCGCAGGTATAAAAAGCATGGCAAACAAAATGGCTATCTCGAAATTTCCAAAGTGTAAAAATCCCTAGATCTAGGGATTTTCCTAGTCAAAATTTAGATTTCTTGACATATTTTTGAAATTTGGGGAAGTCTTCAAAACCGGAATATATGTCAGAGAACCACTTACGGGCCTTACAAATACACATGCCAAAAATTAACAAAATATCTAAAACTGACAGAGATATAGCCATTTGAATGACTGAAAAGGTAGAGACTGCTCTTTTGACGTCACAATATTTTCGGTATTTGTCCTTGAAATCAGTCAGGAGTAATATTTATTATACTTTTCAACCTCTTCCTGACTGAATATGATCCTTTGCGTGAGTAAAGTCACTTACGTAAAAAATTGTTTATTGTTGTAAACAGGTAGGTACAATTTGACCTTATTTAACCTTCCTGTGACGTCATAGGCCCAAGAAAAATGGCCAAGGAAGGAGGTTTCTGTGGCTGTATATATATGACATGTTTTCATAACGACTCGAATATTCACAATTTAACATGCATTTCCTTACGATTCACGAAAGTGTTTTCTGATTGGTCGAGGTGACCTCTGTTGTGACATCACAGGTCATCATCCACTCAGGTGACGATCCACATGCCAGATCTTTCATATACCTACATCATATCCAGACTCATTTGAAAACTTAAATTTTATTTTTATGACCGACTTCTTGTCATTGTAAATTGGACTGATTTGACTTTGTTTGACCTCCCTGTGACGTCAAAGGTCAAATATCAAAGTCATCGATATCCTATCTTGTGCATCTCGATGAGCTCTTTCGAATGCCGTTTGATTTTTTCCGCTCCGGCTATTGGTTCTGGAGATACGACGGGGGCCCTTTGCCCCCCCCCCCCCCCAACAGGACGTGGAACCTACCACACCCCAACGCGACGGCGCGGGTTAACCGGCGCCCCACTGCACTGGGGTCTGCGTATAACGCGCCCTAGGGGAAGCCGGGGGAAGCCCGGCTTAGTAAGCTCTTTTTCATTTTTGTTACATACCTTGCGTGCTGTATACGATGTTGATATCCTGTTAGCTAGATGAGTTAACCCTCGCCCGCACATGGGGGGGGGGGGTGCCACCCCCGCCCCAGGTAGTCTTTCTGCTCTGCACTCAGCATTTTTAGAGCTAGAAGGCTGATTTTTCGTATAGCTGCTCCTCTATTCTTTCTTGATGTCCACTGAAAATTTCAAGTTTCTGTGATTTTTGGTTTCGGAGATATGACCTTGTTTTTCAGGTCATGTCATGACCCAAATGGCCAATTCTCAACATCTTGCGTTAGCTTTGGGCCTTGTGAGCTTTTGACACCTTGATTTCGGCCTTTTTTTTTGCCAGTCTTACCTCCCACCTATCATGGAACATGCTGTTCGACGATATACAGATGTCAAGGTCAGGGTCAAGGTCAACCTAGGTCATCTAAGATAATTGCGTTTTAGGCAAGCTGAATTTACTTTTTTGTGAAGTTTTTTGACTGCATTTTTTTTTTTTTGTAAAAGCCTCTCAGATCATGATTTCATGTAATATGGACACATAAACAATCGGTGCACACATCAGTATACACACAGACACACACAGACATACAAACACATATCATTGACCTTGACCTAACTTGACCTGAAATGACCTCAGCAGCAAAAACCTGGTCGGGTAGTGTGACAAAGAGGTTCTAGCTGGCTTGGCACCAGAAAACGGCATCATCATCGGTATATGATAAGCAGTGCACTTGATATCCAACGGTGACCCAAAACAGCAACATTTTTTAGTTTGACCTGGCCTGGAAGGTCAATGACTGACCTGAGAAGGTAAAACTGGATATCATTGGATTCATCTCTTCCCAAAGAATCTTTTTGGTCTTTACCGCTAAGCTCTATCTCCAACAGGAACGAAATGGCGCGGGGGGGACCCCCCATGTGCGTTCTAGGATGGGAAAATGGCATGTGCGGGCGAGGGTTAATTGACCGTGTTTTCCCAAAAACTCGGCTTTGTGGAAAAAGTATAAAGTTGCGAAATTCAAGTTTTAAAAAAGTATTGATTTCTCTGGGGTAAGCCCGGCATAGGGTTAGCGCCGGCCACCTCTTCAGCGCTTTACAACGAGTTGATGCAACCATTATGTGTCTTCCAAATATTGACGGAAAGTGAAATATTAACCCGCGCCCCACTGGGATCTGCGTATAACACGCCCTACTGGGGGGGGGGGGGGGGCTTTTCATAGCCCCCGCTCCTAACTCCGAAACCACTGGGCCGATCGTCAAAATTCAAACGGCGTCTGATAGCCCCGGAAAAACTGTCGAGCGAAACCTAATGTCATTGACCTCGAGGTCACCGATGACGTCACAGGTCAGGTCAAAGTAAAAATTATTAGCATTTTGGCTTCTTCACGTTTTGGGCTCTGGCCGCCGTCTTACAAGTCAGATCAGGCTCATTTTTGGTTCACACACTCGTGAACAGATGCTCTAGATACTCTGAGGGTACCAAACTTGTACTTTGATTTTCAGGTCAAGGTCAGGTCAGCACAGGTCACGAAAATATTATATCATGCGTCGGTCACGTGACACGTGTTTTATGGAAAATATTATATCATGCGTCGGTCACGTGACACATGTTTTATGGTCCATTTAGGCCAAAAATTTCGAATTTGATGTCGTCTGTGTCATTCGAGGTCATTTTGAGTCAAATTTAGCTTAGGTCAGGTCACTTTCAGGTCAAAAAAGGTCAAATTTTGAAGTTAAAATTTTTCAACAAAAAAGGTGTCTATTGGATGCAGATTGAGCTCAGGAACACGATGGTGCTATTTATATTGGCGTACGATGTCAAATTCGTGCTGAAACATTGTTTTGAAAAATTAATAATTGTTTATTTTTTGCAATAATGCGTATAACTTGGCCATTTTTGAAGATATTTAGCTAAAACTTGCTAGAGTTAGTCATAATAATGCGTTCTATCACATATATTCCGTTTTTTTTTTCGAAAAGTAAAAAAAAAAAATGGAAAAAAAATGTAAAAGTATAAATTTTGAATTCTATTTTATAAAATTTTCGAAATTTTCAACATTTCGAAAATCCGAGATAGCAGTTTGATAGCGCAGTCTATTCTGAGTCCTCTCATGCAAATAAATTGGATCTAGCTTAAAAACTGAGCTCTTGGGAGCGATTGCCGTGGTTCAATGTTTTGCGTCGAAATCGGCCGAACATGACGTCACTCTGACGTCATTTCCGACCGACCTATAGTAGGTACGAAGTTCAAATTTTGTCGCAAGGTGTCAAATTGATGCAGCCGAAGGTACTGAAAGTTTGGCGTCGATACGTCAAGCGGTTTGGAAGTTATTGCAGAAAAACGGGAGGGGGGGCTACAAATAGCCCCCCCCCAGTGGGGCGCGGGTTAAGGTACTGTTTAGCTCTGGACATCTTAGACAACTTCATTGTTTGTCAGGTTATCTGCAAAAAAACGTAGTTTCACCCTAGTTGACCTAAAGTTACATGGCCGTTCTTGTAGCATACCTACAAACATAAACTTAGTCACATATTGATATAAACTGATAGTGTAACCCAAAACCGTTAAAATGGAGCGGATATCTCCCATATTTTTACAGCAAAAACCAGACAAGCAATCGCCCTTCATCCATAACTGATAGCTATGGGCACTGGAATAGAGCGACAAGCTGAAGAGGCTTTGTCTATGATAACATGCTTATTTTCGAGGTTTATCTTTGGGCGAGGTCTAAAACAAACTTACTCAGTACCTATTATTTCATGGAAAACAGTGGTTTAGTGGCATTGCTCTCGGTTAGGGGTAAGCTCGGCCATTCGCCCGGGGTTACCCCAATGTGCTAATTTTATTTTAGAACAGCAATGTTCGAAAAAAATATCACTTAAGCCAGCCTGCCTCGTCACCCCTCACTACAAACACTTAAACGGTCCTTTCAGTTTCATAACAGAGTATCGTCAAAAACACCAGGTAACTAGGCATAGGTACTATGTCGGAAGAATCAATGTACGAAAGCCGCTCAGGCCCGGCTCGTATTATTTTGTCGTAAATGTTGCCTAAAAATAAATAAGTTTGTCGCCACCGTGGCGACTGGGAGAGTTTTTATTCTAATATCCTGACAAGGGCTCAACGGAAGGTAGCATATTTGCTATGTAACCAGTAACCACAAATTTGTGCCTTTGTGATTGGCTCTGGTGCTAGGTGTCGCTGACAGTGTGCGTCCGCGCCTGCAGCCGCGCTGCTGTACCGCGTGTTCCGTAGTGAGCGGAAGCGTAAGCTGAAGCTGGCGCACGCGCTGCTGAACCTGACGTCGCTGCTGCTGGTGCTGATCGGCCTGAAGGCGGTGTTCGACTCGCACGACCTGGCCTCGCCGCCGATCCCCAACCTCTACTCGCTGCACTCGTGGGTCGGTCTCTGCGCTGTGCTCCTGTTCGCCATGCAGGTCAGTTGACGGGTGGGCGGCCAGGGAGCGGCACCGGGCTGACGATATTGCCGCCGGGTGCCGTCACGTACGGGGACCAGGAATAGCTGCTCAGAGAACGCGGCCCGGTGATGTTCGTGTACGTGCGGCCAGGCTGATCATCTGTCAGGGACCTGATAACCTGTCGCCCGCTTTTCAATGCTTAGTGCTCTGACTCGGTTCCGTGCTAGTCTAGATTTAGTTACTTGGCCTTCTGACCCGAATCCATGTCATTGCTAGTCTGTAAACAGTAACCTGACCGGGTCCCGTATCGCCTACCAGTCTATGTTCGTGCTGAGCCGCCCCGTGTGGCCCGCAGTGGATTGTCGGCTTCGTCTCGTTCCTGGCGCCGGGCCTGAGCGGCTCCCTGCGGGCTCGCTACCTGCCCTGGCACCAGTTTTTCGGCATGGCCATCTTCGTCACTGCTTGCGGCGCCGCCATCATGGGGCTGATGGAGAAGGCATTCTTCGCGCTGTGAGTGGGGCTGGTGGCCAGCGAGACTACCTCTGCCTGCCGTTCAGTGCCGTCCCCTTTCATCCCAGGCCGTCTGCCTTTCAGTGCCGCCCAGACATCTGTTTGCCTTTCAGTGCCGTAACGCGGTATAGTGTTTGGGTTATGGCCTTATTAGTCTTTTTTTTTTTTAGAAATTCTGTTTGAATGGTTGAATGGGTGGCTGTGGGCCCGGGTGCCCCGGTTATCAGAGCTTGTTGCGAATGACACCACGGACCCGCCACCCGACCACCCCCGCGCTCGGTTCACCGGTGATAATTTGAATCGAAAGGTTATCGTGCCGCAGGTAAACGGCGGGTGTAGCGTGGTCTCAAACGACGTGGAGATTCCCGGCCGCGAACTCGCTGCTCCCGAGTTAGCCTGATCCACTAGGCCACGGGGAGGACTTGCCTTAAACCAGGTTCAAAAGTTGTCGCCCCTCACAAATGCTCACTCCTGCCCCTGCAGTGCTGCAAGCATTTTCAGCCCATACCGTATTTGATCCAGGCTGATGGTGTTGCATGCGATTGCTATACCTAAAAGCTGTACGGTTTCAGCTCTCTATCTAGGTCATATGCTTCCGTACCAAGACGGAACTGCTTACTGCACCTCTCGGTCGGAGTCGAGACCCACACACCCACAGTACACTACCCTGTCCCCGGAGTCGAGACCCACACACCCACAGTACACCACCCTGCCCCGGAGTCGAGACCCACAGTACACCACCCTGCCCCCCGGATTCGAGACCCACACACCCACAGTACACCACCCTGCCCCCCATGAGTCGAGACCCACAGTACACCACCCTGTCTCCGGAGTCGAGACCCACACACCCACAGTACACCACCCTGCCCCGGAGTCGAGACCCACAGTACACCACCCTGCCCCCGGGAGTCGAGACCCACACACCCACAGTACACCATCCTGTCCCCGGAGTCGAGACCCACACACCCACACTCCACAGTACACCACCCTGCCCCGGAGTCGAGACCCACAGTACACCACCCTGCCCCCCGGAGTCGAGACCCACACACCCACAGTACACCACCCTGCCCCGGAGTCGAGACCTACAGTACACCACCCTGCCCCCCGGAGTCGAGACCCACACACCCACAGTACACCACCCTGCCCCGGAGTCGAGACCCACAGTACACCACCCTGCCCCCCGGAGTCGAGACCCACACACCCACAGTACACCACCCTGCCCCGGAGTCGAGACCCACACACCCACAGACCACCACCCTGCCCCCCAGAGTCGAGACCCACACACCCACAGTACACCATCCTGTCCCCGGAGTCGAGACCCACACACCCACAGTACACCACCCTGCCCCGGAGTCGAGACCCACAGTACACCACCCTGCCCCCCGGAGTCGAGACCCACAGTACACCACCCTGCCCCGGAGTCGAGACCCACACACCCACAGAACACCACCCTGCCCCCCGGAGTCGAGACCCACACACCCACAGTACTCTACCCTGCCCCCCATGAGTCGAGACCCACAGTACACCACCCTGTCTCCGGAGTCGAGACCCACACACCCACAGTACTCCACCCTGCAACCGGAGTCGAGACCCACAGTACACCACCCTGCCCCCCGGAGTCGAGACCCACACACCCACACTACACCACCCTGCCCCCCATGAGTCGAGACCCAGAGTACACCACCCTGTCTCCGGAGTCGAGACCCACAGTACACCACCCTGCCCCCCGGAGTCGAGACCCACACACCCACAGTACACCATCCTGCCCCGGAGTCGAGACCCACAAGTACACCACCCTGCCCCCCGGAGTCGAGACCCACACACCCACAGTACACCACCCTGCCCCGGAGTCGAGACCCACAGTACACCACCCTGCCCCCCGGAGTCGAGACCCACACACCCACAGTACACCACCCTGCCCCGGAGTCGAGACCCACAGTACACCACCCTGCCCCCCGGAGTCGAGACCCACAGTACACCACCCTGTCTCCGGAGTCGAGACCCACACACCCACAGTACACCACCCTGCCCCCCATGAGTCGAGACCCACAGTACACCACCCTGTCTCCGGAGTCGAGACCCACACACCCACAGTACACCACCCTGCCCCCCATGAGTCGAGACCCACAGTGCACCACCCTGCCCCGGAGTCGAGACCCACAGTATACCACCCTGCCCCCCGGAGTCGAGACCCACACACCCACAGTACACCACCCTGCCCCGGAGTCGAGACCCACAGTACACCACCCTGCCCCCCGGAGTCGAGACCCACAGTACACCACCCTGTCTCCGGAGTCGAGACCCACACACCCACAGTACTCCACCCTGCAACCGGAGTCGAGACCCACAGTACACCACCCTGTCCCCGGAGTCGAGACCCACCAGTACACCACCCTGCCCCCCGGAGTCGAGACCCACAGTATAGTCTGTCTTAAAAGTACCGCGAAAAGTAACGGTGGATCCATCAAGCCTGACCGAGGAAGGGCCTGCTAAATTTGAGTCACCGAAGCAATTGACATCCTCGTCCATTCCCCAGGTCAGTTCAGGGCATATTTTAACAAATTTTTACTGCGTCCCAAAGTTGAGCAGAGGGCACGTGCTACGACTAAGGACACAGGGCAGGGAACAGAGTAGGACACTGAGGAGGGCATCAGTGCCCTCCTCAGTAGGGCACGGCAGGTTACAGGGCATGGCGCAGGACATTTTAGAGAGAAGGGTCAGGGCACACAGCAGGGCACAGGTCAGGGTACCGGACAGGGCACAGGGCAGGGACGCAGTGGATCAAATCAGCAGGGGCTACGTCCCAAGGCGAGGGGGCTGCGTCCCAGAATGGGACGCAGTAAGTGCCTTAAAATATGCCCTGGGTCAGTTGGTTCGATGACTTTCAAATTATAGCACGCCCTTCCTCGGTCAGGCTTGATGGATCCACCGTCACTATGCGCGGTACTTTTAAGACAGACTGTACGGTCCTCCAAGTATTTAGTGGTTGGTTGCCAACATCACAATAAGCGACCTGCATTGATGAATACATCTAATGGCTGTTGAAAACCATTGCCGAAGTGTGTGCATGAACCCTCTTGTCATTTCTATTGAGTCATTTTACAGGAGTGCCTCTGTCATTCAAAGTTATTACACCAAAAGCACATAGGCTAACCAACCACTCTTTTGCTAGAGATCTAGAGGGCCGTACACCACCCTGCTCCCCGGAGTCGAGACTCACAGTACACCACCCTGCCCCCCCCCCCGGAGTCGAGACCCACAGTGCACCACCCTGCCCCCCCCCCCGGAGTCGAGACCCACACACCCACGATTCACATCTGTACCCCCGGAGCCGGGACCCTGTGACGGTACTCTGAAGCGTCGCGCTCGCCGCAGGAACCCCAAGAACAATGAGCAGCCGTATTCGAAGCTGCCGCCGGAGGCGTACCTGATCAACTTCGTGGGCCTGCTGCTGGCCGTGTTCTGCTGTCTGGTGGTGTTCCTGCTGTCCCACGGCGGGTACCGGCGGCCGCCGCAGCCCGAGGACGAGATGCTGCTCCGCGACACTGTCATCGACTAGAGCCGGCACCGGACCCGAGCTGGAGGGCAACGGAGGCCAGGACGCCATGACGGGTGGAAGAGGAGGGGAACGGACAGCTGCCTCCGGAGGCCGGGACAGTCGCACCCACAGCTCACAAGTCAGGTCGGGTCGGAGGAGGACGTCACAGGCGCTGAACGGTAAGGAGCGGGCCAGGCGCCTGCCGCTGGGCGGCACAGTCGTCCGTGGGCCCGCGTGACCGAGGCTGCGTTGCGGTCGGGTCAGGCGAGCTCACTGGACAGGGAGGGGCGCCGGCACCCGTCGCGGGGTGTCTGGAGAAGGAGAGCGGCGCTGCGCGCGCCGGCAGCGGCAGGTGTCTGAGGTCCCGGCAGCGCGGACCGGCCCGATTTTCGGCCGAGGCTCAGTCTAATGACGACCGCGGTGGGTCCACGTGTGCTGTTCCGGCTCTCTGGAACATGCTGTCCCGGCTCCCCATGCTCTCTTGGTGCCCCTCCGCAGCAGCGCGGGTATGTATTAGTGTCGTGACCGTAGTTGTATTGGTGTTGTGCAATGATATATATCACTGATATTCGCTATTTTTGGGTTGTGACCTGTTGCGTGACAGCCAGTACTATGCTTTTTATCTACGTTTGAACATACGCGGAGATGTATCTATATCCCTAAGGTAATTTGTACTACAAGAAACGCACACGTTTGCAAGACAGTTGTCTCGCATCAAAATTGGCTGTGTGCTTAGCTTCGTCCGCCGCGTCTTTATCGCAATTTGTGATTGACGTCTTGTCACTCCCGATAGTGGTGGCAATGTTGTTGTGTTACGTTTTGGTAACTTGTACGGGGAGGCTGTTATTTTGCATATCTCAGGCATAATGGCTGAGTGAGTAGCGGGGTTACGTTACCAAGTAAATAACATCTGGGCGGCGCATTGGCTGTCTGTGGATCTGTCCATGACCTAGCTTAGTTGTTTCATGCAAAATTATGGACGTGAGCAATTATCTGTCTGTATTCGTTAACCTCGAACATTCATAGTATATTCGCAGCATACTACGTATATGCAGTATAACCGTTGTAGTCAGTTTAGCAGAATATGCAGATGCTTCCCATTTGACCCTCGCTGTTTAGCCTCCGCGATATGACACCTTTTTTTTAAACCCCACATTTGTTCTCCCGTGAAATTCAGACAAGTTGTTTAGAAACCTTCAAAAAAGGTACAGTCACTCGATTTTTCTCAAGTTTGTCTGTCTTGGCAGATCAAGCAATGCCAGAGCAAGCTTACGAACACACAAATTTGATCAGGATCGGACGATTGGACACTTCTAAAAAGAGATCTTTCGTGCTTCCCGGAAATTCACCGGAGAACGGATGTGGGGTTTAAAAAAAAGCTGTCGATGATAGCTGTACCGTTCTGCGGGGTACCGATCGTGCTGTGCAAATGTACCGTACCGTACCGTGCCGCACCTACCAGCCGCCGAGCTGCGGCAGCTGCTGTCCGCGGCAGCGGCGGCGGCGTGGTGCTGTCCGCGGCGGCGTGGCGCTGTTAGCCGGTCACGTGGCTACTCGAACAGCGCCGTGGCTCGCGAGGCGGCCTGCGTTGGACCGTGTATCCCGGTATTTATGTTTCCGAGAGGCGCTTTGTCGTTAATTTGCACTTTGTATAACTGCAAAGACTATTGGATGCGCTGAATCTTGGCCGCACTGAACCTTGTCTGAGTCACTTCATCGGTCACTTTGAAGCACTGTCTGAATCGCCCCTGTGCTGTGCGCTGGTCGTCTCTGCGTCCTCCTACCGGGTCTCTGCGTCTTTAAGCGGCATATTACCTATGGACTGCAGCTGGCCGGCGAGGCGGGTGAGCCGCGGATCGGCGTTAGGCGTTACCGGCCCAGCGCGTCCACGATCTGTCTCTCCACCGGCCACGGTGTTGACTATTGACTGTGTTCACTATTGAATGCTTCGTGCATGCTACCCAAACCCGTGTACCGTTGTCATCGGTGTGTGCACAATATAACCAATAAATGTTGGTTGTCGGCATTTTTGTGTTTTAGGGTGGCGAGACGATTGGTTTCCGGTGGAAGGGGTTGGTTACGCTCGCGGACACTATTTGTAGGCGGAGGGAAGTTTTTAAGGTTCAAGTATTAGGATGCCTTTTCGATCTTTTACTGGGTTGGTTGTTTCCGGCCGTCGAGTGCTCCACGTCGTGTAACCTGTAAGCCAGTGTCAATACGTTGGCAACCGGAACCCCAAACCCTTAAGGTCGCCGAATACGTTGAAATGCGTAGACGAATTTGCTCCTGTCTTCATGGACATCCTAACGGGGTTTTGCGATTCATCCTTGAGACTGCAGCGTGAATGAGGGCGATAAAAGGACGAAAAACGGCGATCTATCCAATTTTGCTCAAAAGCTGAGCAGTCCGGCTCCACAGGAAGCGAGATGGAGACGAGTCTCCGGTTGGAAGCACGCCCCTCGGCGAACACTAAGCGAGAGGCGGTCGGCACACCGCCTCCTCCCTTGACGTCTAGCCGAGTTACCACCAGGGGGTAGGAGCAGGCAGTACCCAAAGCCCGCCGGCGAGACATTTCCGATGCCATCCCCGACGGCATCCCGGCTGAGAATGGCTCATCTGGGCCGGTGCCCCTTCCAGAACGCAGGGCTAAAGAGGCGTGTCACCCGGCCACCGCGACTGTCTCCGCACGGTGGAAGGCGCAACCCCCAGGACCCCGTTGTCCGGGTGTACGGGCACGGGTCGGCTCGCCTAGCCTAGTAAAAATCGGCTTCCGGTGAGAAATCAAGTGCAAAAACACCGCTCATCAATAACAAAAACACGATAACAAGGAAAAGTCAATACGCATCATCTGCCCTTTCAGTGATAATCAGGTCGTTATCAAGCGCATGTCAATCCGGAGCCGAAGGGGCGCCTCTCCCCTTACCGGCCGAAGTTACAAGCGTCGCAAGGCGGGGCCAATAAGCCCTGGCCGAGGAACAGCTCCGGCAACGGTCAGCCCCTGTGGGGAGAGTGCGGGGTAATGTGAAGATGAAGTCCGAGTGGTATGTAGGTTGGGTGACGGAAGGCATTGTGGAAAATTCGTACGAGGATTATTAGAGCCCAATGACAATGATGCTCTTGGGAAGTTATTATTTATTATAATAAAATTTGTATTTATCGTTGAAACATATTTTACAACAGCATAGGGAGGCAGCGGGGTTACTTCACCTCCGCCATACAGTAACGCGATCGGTGGGTGATCGTAGGACAGCCTCCAGAGCCAACACTCCACGGCGAACCACCCAGCATGGCGGCGCCCGGCACCCTTCCCAGCACGGCTGACCGCCATCCCCACATAAATAACACGGGTTACCCGTCCGCCTAGCCTCTGCCGAAATGATTAATACACGGAGCAACGTCGTTGTCAAGTGCCTACTCTACAGTCGCGTCTTCGCCGTCGCCTCCGTCGTGGCCGCGGCTGGAGCCTCGGGTCACTCGGACTCGCTCTCGGTCTCGGCGCTCTCGACGATCAGTTTGGCGGAGCTCTCGCTGGTGCCGGCGCTGTTGGTGGCCCGGCACGTGATGACACCAGAGTCCTCCTCGTAGGTCTCCACAATCTCCAGCGAGGCCGTGTTGCCGCTGATGGCCATCTGGGGAGCGGGCGCACAGGGGTGAACCAACGGGGCCCACGATCACCTCGGTTCACTGGACCGCATCCCTCAATCAGCCAACCCTGGTTATTGAACACAATGTGTTATGAAGCCACTGACCTTAAAGTCGCGGCTCTGCGGAATCAGGGTGTTTTCCCGCAGCCAGCTGACGGTCGGCGTGGGCTTCCCTGTGATTTTGGCCGAAAAGCGGGCCGGCTGGCCCTCCTCGACGGTGACGTCCTTCATGGGAGTGACGGTGGGCGCCTCATCCTCCTTGGGTGCTGTGGGCGAGCGGTCGGGCGGGTCGGTCGGCCAGCCCGCCGGGCAGAGATCCACAACAAGTTCAGACCAGTCGGCGCCCCAACCATTCGCCCTGAATGCGCTCGGCGCCTGGGTCCGGCGTCCGTGCTGCACCGAGCCACTCACCTTGAACTTTGAGCGGTGCTTTCATGGTGGACTTGCCGGCCGAGTTTGTGGCCACACAGTAGTAGGTGCCCTCGTCCTCCGGGAAACACTCGGAGATGCGCAGGATGAACGCGTCGCCGTCCTGCTCCATCTTGAAATACTTGGACGGCTTGATCGGCTTCTCGTCCTTCAGCCACTGGGCCGTCGGCGCTGCAACGGGCGTCTGTACTCAGCGTGGCCGCAACAGTGAGGTGCGAACGCAGATATGCGAGATACTGGGAGGCTCGGCATTGCTGGGTACTCGGCATTCGAATAACCGAACCTGATCCACCGTCAGACCGGCGGTGCCGTAACAGGCACCTAATATCCAGGCACTAAGTCTGCGTCCGACGGGCCCAGCCGTTACCGAGCTGTCCGCTCCACTTACCTGGGTGTCCGCTGAATCGACACCGGAACATGGCCGCCTGGCCCTCGACCACAATCAAGCCCTTCATCGGCTCCACGATCTTGGGCGCTACGGCCTGTTCCTGCGGCTGAGGCTTGGCCTTGGCCTTGGGCGCCGGCGCCGGAGGAGGGCTCTCCACCACCAGCTGGGGACGAAGGAGTGGGGTCAAAGCCAGCTCTCCAACAATGAAGCGCAGAGAGGCGCGATCAGAACGATCACTAGCGGCTACGGACGGAGAGACAGCGGGAGAGGAAAGAGGAACGATAACAGAACAACTACGTGCGCAGGTAACAACAGCTGATCAGCAGGTAGCGATTCTTGGGGGGGGGGGGGAGGAGGGCGCTCTGAGGGGCAGGGTCACCCGCAGCGCGCCCCTCGGGCCGGGGCCACCGACCTGTCCCTGGCAGCGCGCCTCGCCGTTCTTGTTGATGGAGACACACTCGTAGCTGCCAGAGTCGTCCGCGGTCGGCTCCAGAATCAGTAGCGTGTACACCTCCTGGTCCTCCAGGATCTTGAACTTCATGTCAGCTGTAATCTTACGGCCGTTCTGCGCGACAGACGATAAATACGACACTCGGTCATCGAGGCATCAGGCAGAGCGAGCTGCACGACGCGCCCTTTACACACAAGAACAGTGCGCCGTTCCCGCTGGCAACGCTGGTCGGCGCCCAGATTCCCCCCCCCCCCCCCGAGCCGGACCGTACTGACCTTCAGCCAATAGACGTCCATCGGCTTGGTGCCGGCCAGCTTGGCGTCGAAGCGAGCCAGCTTGCCAGCTTTGACGGTGGTGTCCTGGATGGTCTGCACGAAGTTGGGCGGCGCCGCCGCGCCGCGCTCCTGTTTGCGCTGCTCCACCACCAGATTCGCCGAGCACTTGGCCTTGCCGCCGCGGTTGGAGGCGATGCAGGAGAACTGGCCCGAGTCCTCGCTGAACACCTCGCGGATCTGGAGCACCGACCTGCGCTGGGTGGTGGTGATCTGTCGGAGCGCGAGGAGCGGGGCCGCGTCACGGGAGGCCGGCTCGCGGTGGACGACCGACGCGGCTCACAGTCCGGGTCACGGCGGCCGGCCGTCCGACCAGCCAGCCATATAACACGGGGCTGGCGCCCGTCCCTTGGATCGTCATTCAGCCTGAATGCATTCCGCCTGATTGTTATGAATGATACGGACTCAGCACAGACCAATCGCAACAATATTGAAATAATAACGTTGTTTAAGGAACATGTTGCTTTAGATTTACAGAAGAGAAATGGCGTTTCAATACACCTAGCAAACATACCGTTCAGAGTTTTTACTCTCGGGACAGTTAAATCCTTGTCCACACATCAAACCCCCTAATCCGGGCTGGACGGCCCCTTCTTCAGACGTGAGAAGCTCCCCAGGAACAGGCTCTCGTGTGGTGGGGCGGCCGTTAGCGGAGCTGGGTGACCGCCCATCGTGACGGGCTCGGCCTTAGCGGTGCACCAGGGTGGCCGCCCAAACCAATGAATCCCCCCCCCCGATTCGTTTCATCCTTAACCCTCGCACGACCAGGCCATTTCTCATAACACGAACGACCAGGGGGGGGGGGGGGGTTGTTACGACCCCCCCCTGGCGTTTCGAAACGGAAGGTCGTAGAGCTTAGCGGAAAAAACCAACGGATTGCTCTCAACGAGATCTCGCGATTGGTGGTATACTTTTTGGTCCTAGGTCAACATTTGACCTACTTTTGACCGGTCAAAGGTCAAATTTTCGGATAAATAGACTTTTTTCAACTTTCGGCGGCGATTGCGGCAAAACGGTCGGAGATATCGACTTGAAACCTTCACTATCGTGTTCCTTGATCAATTCTCTATCGTTTGGTATGTATTTCGTTTCCCTAGCTCTAAAAATGGCGCGTTGGGAGCGCCGGAAGTCGGCAAGGTCACAGTCGGCGGCAGAAATTCGAAAAATCAAAATTTAAATTTTTGAAATCTGATTGTATTTTTGGATTTGGGAGGTCCATTTGCTCCCTATAGAAGCTAATATTGCTGCATATTCCCATTGAGGTGACAAGAATTAGCAAAATAGTGGTTCGGGCGCTTTTCAAAAATAGTACCGGACGCTGTTCCTCTTGTGACGTCATAGCTCCGTGACCTGACCTGACCCGGTCAAATTTCTTATACCATATGATAGCCAATACTTGCCCCAACATGCATGGGAAGTTTCATCACGATCCATCAACCGATGTCCGTACCACCGGCAGGAAACCTCGGGCGTTGGCACTCAGTTTGTGAAAATCCGGCCGGAGGCTGTACCTCTTATGACGTCATAACTCCGTGACCTGACATGACCCGATCAATTTTTTTTTCGGCAAAAGATGCGCAAAGGATGCCCCAGAGGGCATTGAAAATTTCAGCCCGCTGCGACAAGCCGTTTAGCGTGCACTTCGAAAAAACCTCAGGGGGGGGGGGTTGATACAACCCCCCCCCCTAGGCGTTCTAGGGTTAAGACTCTCAAAAGGTCTCGATAGACCGAGCGATCCTTATCCCACTCAACAATCCTCCAATATCAAAGGCTGTTACCCACTGTCAAACTTGCTCAATTTTTAGGTCTGCTATGAGGGCGGCACTGATCGAACGGAATCGACTTGCCTTGAAGTCCTGGCTGGACTTGATGAGGAAGTCCTCGCGGAACCACTCGACGTCGGGCGCCGGGTCGCCCGTAAACTCCACCTCGAACTTGGCACCCTCCTTGTCGAACACCCGACACGGCTGCATCTTGCGCGTGAAGAACGGAGGCTTGGACGGCTCCTGTAACCAGCAGGAGACAGATGTGAGTCGGGAACGCAACTCTTCAAACTGAGGGACTTTGACAAGTTAGCACTACTTCATTGACGCTAAACGGCTCTAAATCGCAGCAACTCAATTCGGTACACTACACCGCCCGCATAACCGTATCAGCATTAGCGCGTTCGGTTTGACCGTACCTTGCTATCGCTGTATCCTGGCTACCAGTGAAGACCGTCCGTCCCCGCCGCCTGAGGCAGGCGCACCCGGCCCTCGCCAGCGTTGGTACTCACCACCTTGCCCTGCACGACGCGCTCCTGGGTCTGCGCCTTATGCTCGACCTCGGAGGTCTCCTTGGCGGTGATGTTGCGCCGGATCTCCAGGTCTCCGCGCTGCTCCTTTTGCTGCTGCCGCTGAATGTTGGTGTGTACCTGACGGCGGGGGGAAAACGGCGGCTCGCCTGATCCCATAGTCCGCAGTACATCCGTGACAACGCCAACACTGAGTAAACCGGTACCTTCGGTGCTGGCCTATCTTATCAATTCATCAAAGTTTAGCGGTAATATTTGTCGATAGAGCGCTGCGGGAGAGCGAGTTCTGCGTCGCCACCATCCCCCTCTGACCGTTTCCGGTGCCCCGCTCTCACCTCCTTGCCCTGGACCACGGACTCGGCGGGCCCGGGCATGAACTGTCGGCGCGGTGGCGGCTGCGCCTCTGGTTTTTGGTCGGCCTCGGAGCTGCCGGCAGCGCGGCGGAGCGGTCACAGGGCGGCCCGGCTACCAAACACAGGGACAACGCCATACATACACGGGACCCGCGGCCCCGGTCATATCGCAGGACAGAACAACGCACGGCGCGAGCTGCTCTAGGCATGTCAGCGATAACCCAACAAAATGGTTGGAATGTGGGAATTGAACATAGCATGTGTTGACTGCACGCCTTTGGAGGCTGGAGCAGTAGCGGACAAGCAGTGGCAGCCGACAGTGCAGTCTGAAAATGGACCCAGCGCCCCACCTCATGCAACCGACAACAGGTCACAGCGCTGAACACTGAAAACACGACACAAACGGTAACCCGGCACCGTGCAGAGTTCCGTGACTGAATCCGCTGTTGGAGACGGCTCGGAACGGCGGGGACGGAAATAGACAGAGACTGGCTCTGCAGGGGACAAAAGGTATAGGAAGGAGTTCAGGCCAAAGCAAAGAGCGTTCACTAACAAAAACAGGATGTGATATGCTCGCGTGAAGGCATCGATCCTGCACTAGACTGCTCAGCACAGGCGCCAGATCTGAGCCATCTTTCGAAACAGACTGCAGGCGGCCGCAAAACAAACGGCTCTCTTTTCAAGCCCGACGCCGTTGTAAACATGCGTTCATGCCATTTACATGCTGAACGTGGTGCTTATTTATGAATGCTCTCTGTGATTTAACCAACCAGTCACGACACTGAACGAGAGGGGTGACCAATCATCACTAAATGGTGTTTATTTCCTTGTCCAAACATTGATCGCCTTGATAATCAGTAGGTACTGGAAGCATTAAAGAAGTATCGTGAAATTGGTCCATGCACACGAGTGCCAAACATGCAAGGAAGCCCTGCCCAGAACGAACTGCAGAACAATCAGCGTAAGCGAGCAGAAATAGTGTTTAAAGTGCAGATTAGGTGATTTTTACGCCCCCCTCACACATGTTCATTGATGTGCCACAGCTTAGTGTACACTGACACGCAGAGACGGTTGGAATGAACATGAGCAGAGATTCTTCTCCGTACTACCCCACGCACGCCTACGAAGCGAAAAACAACGCAAACAGGTCGGTCGGACCGCGGCCGGCGTGCACAGTACCTAGGCTGCCTGCGGAGCACGGATTGGGCCCCGCGGGACATTCGAGACGCGTCACTGGAGCTCTCTGCCGACTCATTCCTGAACAGAGGGGCACAAGTTCGACACACGTCATCACGAGTTTATACACGGCACCGACCCACACACACCGGAGGGGGGAGGGAGGGGGACACGCGGTAGAGGAGTAGGGCGGGGTCGCAATAAACCGCAGTCCTGCAGAAGTCTGCCGCGGATTCCCTACAGTAACACTGCCTCTTGGGGTCGACCGCCATCTTGCGATAGAGCGCCTGTCGATTGGTATGTCGGTGTAAACTGGCATGCAAAAAAAAAAAAACAAAAAAAAAAAACAGCGACTTTTATGCTACAAAGACGTGATGAGAACCTCGGGACAAAACGCATCTATTTACACTCACCGTCCATAAATTAGTCCCTGACAACTAAAAGAACATGTAATGCGCCGACGCTGCGGTGTAGTCAATGCATTATGTCCATGTGTAGCTCCCACTATCAATTGATAGAGTATAAAGCGGAGCAGCAACTAATACACAACATATTGATATAAAATGTGTTTTATAATAACAAATGGATATACAAACACTTACTTGACAAACACGAAACACTTGTTTCTACGTATGAATTGATGTAAGCGGAATCTGGCTTAACCAATTCAGAAAAGCATGAACTATGAGGCATGCCTGTCAGTTTTAGAGCCGATATGTTGTAAGTGTATTCGTTCTAGCTATGTCTTCTACGTGGAAGCTAGAGTAACTCAGAGGCGCTCCTATGTAAATGTATGCCGATTGCCGAGCCTAGGACCAACTATGGCGTTTACACCGCATGCACCACGTCTATGCACCGTGCGGCGCCCGGTCTACGAAGCTAGCCCGTCATGTACCTGACCGTGTGCGATACCGTTTCGGACGATTCGACAGTGCGCCTTGTTGTGGCCGTAGTCTCTTCAAAAGATTCGCTCTTAGTTCCCCTGTGACAAGACGCCAGAGGTTGACAGACCCATCCACCCAAACTGCCGAACTGATCCTCAACTCCACCTATAATTCCCTGACCAGGTGTTACAGAAAACATATGCCTAGCTCACGTAATAGTCAAAGGGTTAACAGTCAACCGGCTGCCTAAAAATCGACCGCCATCTACACCTCCAACCCACACCCTACTGGTCGTACTTGTCTGCCGCCCGCCTCCCCCCCGCGCACTCACAGTTTCTGCATGTAGCTGGCGGCCATTCCCTTGGCGACCGAGCTGTGCTTGATCTTCTCGCCGGGAACGGCGAACTGGTGGCCCGCCTCGCGGATCTTGGACTCTTTCATCAGCTGCTCCTCCTCCAGCTGGGAGCGGCACGGTCAGACGGGGAGGGAGGCGGTCAGACGGGGACGGATGGCGGTCAGACGGGGACGGGACGGCAGCCGAGGGGACGGGACACAGTCAGACGGGGACGGATGGCGGCGGCGGGAGAGGCGCCGTCAGATGGGGAGGCGTTAACGCACTGTTACTGCTTCAGTCAGTACTGCTACATTTGAGGTGCGGACAACCAAAGGTTTCAACTTCATTACTATCAATAAATAGATCTTGGCAGATACTTGCATTTTATGTTTTATTGCGCAGCTTTGTCATATCCACTAATGTTATTGAGTTCCCAGCCGTCCGGGCCGCCCTCCCCGACCGGCTGTGGCGGCGGCCGCGCCCGCGTGTACCGCGTCTGCCGTCCAAAGCCAAAACACCGTATGGGCCATTTTTTCCGAAATAAGGTTTTTGATACCAGGACAATCCATTTTTGACGCTGCGTTTAGCTGTACCATTTACAGTTTTGTATCAAAAATATATTTTTTATTATATTCGATAAGGTATTATGGCTTTTGTGGATAAACCATGATTAAGCTACTTGGTGCCACCAAAATGCCGTATGGAGTGTGATTGTGAAATTCATCAGTTGTTTCAAGTCGTCAACTCATGCCAAAACACCGTATCACAGCAATGTGGTCTTTTGGCCTTGGCGGACGCTGAACCTATGCCACTTCATGCCACCGTTTCACGTGCGATGCGGTCTTCTGGCTTTGATTTCGAACGAGATTTCCGACAAAACCAGTGACAAAAACACCGTATTGACTGATATGCGGTATTTTGGCATAGGTTGGTGTCGGTAAATCCCCATCACCTTGAGTTACACTCTTTTGGCACGAATGATTCAACGTGTTTCGGAAATAAGCTACCCAATATGAAATTCATGACAAAATTGACGGCGAGAATAATAACGACACAATTTTTAGAGGAATAATATTTAAAGATGTAAGCCGTTAGAGCAATTAACCTGCCACACTATCACGTGGGCGAAGTGGCTCAGATCGAGGCTGCTCTGAGTGCAGCAAACAGGCGGTTCACCTCACTTCAGGCAAGGATGCCAGTGGCGAATATCGAAGAGAGGCCGATCGTGATTGGGCTGACGACGGGGTGACGGTGACGGTGTCAGTATGATGAAAGAGGTGATGATACATACGATTAGGTCTGGCCATGCTCCTTCGTCCCTGGCTTACGTGTCTTCAACTGAACAGCGTGGCAATGCCCGAGAACACCCGCAGCGTCAGAAAGGACTGTTATCATGTGGTGTCCGTTTGCATCGTCTGGGAGGTGTAGCCGGACGGAGGTGGAGGTATCTGGTATTTACTTTTTGCTTGCAACTTGGGTCTTTCACACAGTCCAAAAGTGGACGCTGATGGATGCTGTTCAGTGTTCAGTGTGCAATCGAACCACCTCACAATCCAGACTGACGCTTAAGTCGATCTAACCTGAAAACACCGGCATGAATGCCGATGTCGTAGCCGTGCCAGGTAAGTTAACCCAAAACCGAATCAGAAATCAGTTGGTTTCGGTACCTGTGAAAGCGGCCAGTGAACGCTTGAATATGCGTGGAACTCAGACTTTCCTATAACTAGAAGATGGCAAAACTTCCGTTGCTTCATTTAACTATTTTTAGCACGTTCTTCTTAATGTAGCCAATTCGTAGAAAATCCCGATGTACGCATCAAACGTTCGCCCCCTCGGCTTGTCTTCAGTCTCCGACTCTCCGTCATCAAACACATTCCGCTCTCCCCTTTGTAGACTGGGTGAAAGTCCCAAGTTTCAAGCAAAAAAGTGATGCAGCCACGTCCAGATATCTCCACTAGTTCCACGTCCGGCTACACCCGTCGTCCCAGACGATGCAAACGGACACCACATGATAACAGTCCTTTCTGACGCTGCGGGTGTTCTCGGGCATTGCCACGCTGTTCAGTTGAAGACACGTAAGCCAGGGACGAAGGAGCATGGCCAGACCTAATCGTATGTATCATCACCTCTTTCATCATACTGACACCGTCACCGTCACCCCGTCGTCAGCCCAATCACGATCGGCCTCTCTTCGATATTCGCCACTGGCTTCCTTGCCTAAAGTGAGGTGGGCCGCCTGTTTGCTGCATTCAAAGTAGCTTCGATCTTATTTACTTTGCCCACGTGATAGTCTGGCAAGTATTGCTGAAATGCCTTTGACCCTAGAACATTCCCCTAATTATTCGTGAATTTTGTCGCCAACTCCATATAGACCCGCCTATTTCCTACACATGATGCAGCATCGATGATTCCGAATGCTGGCAATTGTCGATGGATCATTCCATCATGTAAACTGTATGCTTCAACTTTACCGTAACTTGGAGGTCATCCAAGCCAAAACACCGTATTGGGGCATAAAACGCGATACGGTGTTTTTGCTTCGCGAAAAGGCACGAAATTAAAATACAAACCAAGCCAGAACACCATATCGAATGCTAAGTAAAATGATAATGATTACTATGAAATTTGAATAAATGTATCAATTCTGCAAGATCAGACAATTCTAATGGTCTTTTTCCTATCACGGAATGTTGATTCCTTCACATAGAAATCACACCTCAAAGTAAGAAAGCTTAAAATCGTTCTCCTGTAAAATTTGAAAAACCTGGGATGCGGTGTTTTGGCTTTGGACGGCAGGCGTGTCCCGCACGCGGTGGCCCTCACCTGCTTGTAGCTGCTGTAGTAGTCGGCGCCCTTCTTGGCCTTGGCCATCTTCTGCCACTCGGTCTCAGGCTGTTCGACCACCTTCTGGTGCTCGCCCTGGTGCAGGACGCTGATGCCGGGCCGCACCTTCTCCTCGAACACGCGCTCCAACTCGTCGTCCTGACGGTCCTTCTGGTACTGCTTCAGGTCGTAGTCGTACCACGCTGACGGAAGTGGGCAGCGCAGGTCAGGGGCGTCTGTATCGCCAGTAACCAAGCCCTAGATCACGGCTCAGTATACTATCAACATCAGTGTATTCGTTACCTGGAATTGTGCGATCGGACGGTAGAAGTCGGGGTCTAGGCAACAAGCTCTGCTTAGCATGGGCTCAGGCTCTGTCAATCCGTCCACTCAAATAGAGCTAAATTTATAAAAAAGTACTGCTAAGCTGCACAAGCTATCCTTACACTAACTTTTGGCTCATAACTCATTAACATGGTGCTATGACGGGAAGCCACACGCATGACCGCTGTTCTCGCCGGCGGCGTCGAGCGCGGCATCACTCCCACCGCTCCGGCCCGATCCCCTCACAAGGGACGACACACCGGCGACAGCCGCCCGCGCCCGACTCACGTTTGGGCGAGTTCTTGAGCATGGCCCGGTAGTCATCCTGTTTGGGCGTCACGTTCAGCTCGCAGGAGGTGTACGCCTCGCCGGCGGCGTTTCGCGCGATCACCTCGATCTTGCCGTGGTCGTACTGACGCGTCTTGGGAATGTCCAGCCGCCACATGCCGTCGTAGGTCAGCTTGTAGCGAGTGCCCTGTCGAGATGGAAGGGGTTTCAAAACGTGCTAAACAGTCTAGTAGATTTGTCGTTTTATTCAGTAGACGTCCAAGTTGATCTTTACTCACAAGACCTTACCTATCAAAAGCAGCTTATGCCATTCTGCCCACCAATGCACAGCTCATAAAGACAGGGCACATAAGACGCTGCTTGGGCCACTGACAGTCGCGCTGGTGCGCCACTCACGTTGACGATGGTGTGTCCGTTGATGAGCCACATGACGCGGGGTCGCGGATGGCCCGTGAGCCGGCAGCAGAAGCGCGCCCAGTCGCCCTCCTTCACAGAGCACGGCTCCGGCTTCAGCACAAACTGCGGCGCCTCGGGCACCTTCTCCTCGTCGGCGGGCCGCTCGGGCGCCCGGTTCCACTGCGACTCCAGCTCCTGGATCTTCTTTACCGACTGCATCCCGGCCGGCAGCTGCGAGTCGTACACGATGCCCGGCTTGCCCTGCGTCACAGGCACCGCGTCAATACCCGGCAGCGCAGAAGTGCTTGCTGGCGCTTCTTCATTCTTGAGCCAGCAGGGAAAAAGGTAGCCCAAATAAAGAATATCAATGGCATCCCACATCTTAAGACTGAGATACAACGAAAGATAAACTCTGAGCAAAGTACAAGATCCGGGGGGGGGGGGGGCGAGGAAGTTAATGTCCACCGCCTTTTATATCCAACCAGTCACTACAGCTGCTACAGTAAGGACGGCTAAAACGCGCCATTTTGGCCGGCACGGCTGCGACCCCCTGCAGGCCGGCGCAGTGTGTCAGCTGACTGACCTTGGTCTTGATGACGGCGCGCGTCTCGTCCATGCCGTACTTGTTGGTGGCGCGGCACAGGTACTCCCCAGAGTCCTCCGGGTACACCCAGCCAAAGTTCATCGCCACGTAACCAAAGTCGTAGATGGGCGTGAAGCGGTTCTCTGTGGTACGGGGGGAGCGGGTGAAACGGTAGGTACTGCAAACAGCCCCGGCCTCGCCCGACAGTCTCTATAGATGCCTTTCTTTGGAACGTGCTTTGTTAGCCTGATACGGCACATTTTTCCACTCTCTGACTAGTTGATTATCATATTCTGACACTCTTGAGTACCGTTTCCGCTTTTTCAGCAGACATTCGATACTGGTTGTCCAGCAGTGCATACTGCATACTTCACATGTTCGCTACTCTGTTCTGGCCGGCTCGGCCGAGTGGGTCCCGCGCACGGTCCCGCCTGACTCACTGTGGGGAAGCGGCCGGCCGTTGAAGAACCACTCGACCTTCATGTCGGGGTCGCAGACGGGCGCCAGCTGGCACTCGAACTTGGTGACGTTCATCTCGACAAGGTCCAGCTGGTCCTGGATCTGGGTGACGAACCTGCGACCGGGGGACGGGGGACGGTCAGAGGTGACGGGGACGGAACAGTCACCAGGTACCGGGGGGATGAGTCGGTCAGAGGTGACGGGGACGGTCAGCGGTACCGGGGGAGAGGTACCGTCTGCGCGTATATCTATAAGGCTAAGAGCACTTCCGACACCAAGAACACCTCCATTCCAGCCAGCGGATCAGCGGGCGAGGGGCGGTGAGCGCAGCGCCACAGCAGAGCGGCCCCCCCAGGGTGCCAGCAGCGGCCCTCTCGGCTCACCGGGGCGGCTGTTTGCGGTCGGCGTCGTAGATGTCCTCCTCGGTGAGGTGGATGTCCGAGGTGTACTGCTTCAGCGCCGCCTCCATCTGCATCAGCGTGTCCGACTTCTTCATGCCCTTCGGCACCTGGTTCATCATGATCACGGACGAAATGCCTGCCGCGGCCCCAGGGGATGGATCGTGTCCGTTAGCATTCCGAGGTGGCGGATAAATCAATAACAGCCTAAATCTGCACAGCCGGCGGAGCACTAGGACCCACTTTTACTTTCAGGTCCCAGGAGACTAAATGAGAAACAGTGATACAAACCTAACACACTCGCTGAGGCAAAAAATGGTATGAAAACAGGCAAATAACGTTCGCTTGAAGTACAAACAACTCGGCTCCTAGCGCCTATCCATAACAGCTGCAGCCCCTGATGCGAGTGGCTGATCCGTGGCCCGTTGAACCGGTCAGAGAGAGGTGCGCCGGCGAGGGGAGGGGACTGACCTCGGCAGGTCAGGGCGCTCTTGCAGGTGGCCTGGCCGGCCCTGTTGACGGCCCGGCACGTGTACTCGCCGCCGTCCTCCGGGTACACGCCCAGGATCTGCAGCGACGCGTACCCAAAGTCGAACGTGGTGCGGAACCTGGCGGCGGGCCGTGGGGCGGTCTGGTCAGCGGGCACATATCGGCTGGGAGCGTGGGGCGGCCTGGTCAGCGGGCACATATCGGCTGGGAGCGTGGGGCGGTCTGGTCAGCGGGCACATATCGGCTGGGAGCGTGGGGCGGCCTGGTCAGCGGGCACATATCGGCTGGGAGCGTGGGGCGGTCTGGTCAGCGGGCACATATCGGCTGGGAGCGTGGGGCGGCCTGGTCAGCGGGCACATATCGGCTGGGAGCGTGGGGCGGTCTGGTCAGCGGGCACATATCGGCTGGGAGCGTGGGGCGGTCTGGTCAGCGGGCACATATCGGCTGGGAGCGTGGGGCGGTCTGGTCAGCGGGCACATATCGGCTGGGAGCGTGGGGCGGTCTGGTCAGCGGGCACATATCGGCTGGGAGCGTGGGGCGGTCTGGTCAGCGGGCACATATCGGCTGGGAGCGTGGGGCGGTCTGGTCAGCGGGCACATATCGGCTGGGAGCGTGGGGCGGCCTGGTCAGCGGGCACATACCGCCTGTGAGAGTCCGGGGGTCCGGTCAGAACACATGCCATCCGGCCATCTCGCGAGACCGACGTCCGCATAATTGATACCATCGGCATACAAACGCGGCGATGCCATCAAACGCCGACCAGACGGAAGAATAACAGCAGCGCCATGTACCTCATGTGCGATCGATACGATGCCATTAAACCGTCAGTGTGATTATCCCGTGCCGGTAATCATTAGTTACCTGTCGGTGACCCGACAGCTGTGACCTGTGTCAGTGAGTCAGTGACCCACCTGTGACCGGTCTGCACGAGCACGCCGTTCCTGTACCACTCGACCCGCAGGTTGGGGTCTGTCTTCGGCTCCACCCTGGCCTCGAAGAAGGCCGTCTCGCCCTCGCAGATGTCCACGTTCTCGATCTGCCGTCGCGGCGCAGCACAGCTCAATACAACGCAACACATCACAGCCGCCAACACCCTGCCGCGGAACAGCCCTTCCACACAGCCGTAACACAGCCGCGGGATTCAGCACTGCGCTGAAACAGCGTTCAGTCAAATTGGAAGTGTTTTAAAATTAAAGGATATGTTATCTGTCCAGCTGCCTCAGCACAGCATGCAATAGAAGGTGGCCTGTTCTCACTGTCTGAGCTGTATCGGAGTTGCCTGGTGACCTTCCCCTCCCCCTCCCTGGTCTCCAGCCCCCCCCTCCCTGGTCTCCACTCTCCCCCTCCCTGGTCTCCAGCCCCCCTCCAGCCTCCCCTCCCTTGTCTCCAGCCTCCCTCCCTGGTCTCCAGTCTCCCACTCCTTGGTCTCCAGTCTCCCACTCCCTAGTCTCCAGTCTCCCCCTCCCTGGTCTCCAGTCTCCCCCTCCCTGGTCTCCAGTCTCCCCCTCCCCGGTCTCCAGTCTCCCCCTCCCTGGTCTCCAGCCTCCCTCCCCATGTGCCCACCTCCTTGATGAAGCGGGGCGGCTCGGCGTCCGGCTGCGGCGCGGCCGGCTCACCCAGCTTGGGGCCCTCCTCCAGCGCGCGCAGCTTGTCGCCCGACATGCCCTGGGGCAGCTGCGACTCGAGCTGCACATCGCGCTTGGCTGCGGCAGCGGAGCGAAACAGTCACTCCGGCGAACGGGCCGGATACATCTGTAGTGACTAGTGACCGTAGGTGTGCAATTCAAACAATCAGATGGTAAAATAATAATGCTACGTTTGCTACCCCACGGCAATTATATTAACAGCTTGTAAGCTACAGTATAGCAAGTAGCACATCAGGCAGTACGCCATTCTTTGTCAAACACTCCGGTTACATGGCTAAGACTATGTTTACATTTCGTTGAATTTAAGTTAATGTATTTACAGAAGTTCGATTGAGACGGCGAAAAGGCTTCGTTTTCTTACAGATGGCCTTGGTATCAGTTCTGAACGTGAACCGAGAGTAGCATCACGCGGGGGATGACAGCATGCACAGATGGGCGGCGGAGTGTCAACTTACACGGGGGCCGGCCGGGGTCCGCAGCTGGCCTGAAATGTGCGCGCACGTGGCTGTTAGTGCGGCACACAGGTGGACCGGCAGTCGTTACTGGTTCACTTGACCGTCACTTACCAGAGGGTTATGGAGGACGGAACAGGTTAGTAGTGCGAACACAAACACACAGCCGGCAAAAGGCAGCCGGGAAAGCGCTGGCTTACGGCGCAACTTCGCACCAAATATAAACTGGTAATCACACTTTGATGGTCGGGGAAAGTACTACACATACATCCCTGCCGTCGCTATTGCATGTGCTATTAAATAACGAACAAAACACGCACAGTTTAATGTTCATAACAGCGACATGCAAAGCAACACGCGCGGCATTAACAAAAACGCGACACGGCCCGAAAACTATTTCACAAAAGACCGAATGACTACACCTTTTTAGGCGCAATTTCAAAAATTTAAAGACCAAATTCAAAAAGTTTACATTCAAAATGCACGTGAACGTTTTGAATTTGGTCTTTAACTTTTTGAAATTGCGCCTAAAATGCTGTAGTCGGGATTGTTTCACGGCAACCGGCCGGAACTGGCAGCTGGGGCATTCCACGATAGATCGTACCACTTTTTTCCAATTTGACACCCTCATCTCTCGGAATTTGACGAGAATTGGTCTAAGGGGTAATCAGGGGCTCTGAATCCACCTGTAACAATTTCAGGCTTATCAGATAAGTATTTTTTGAGTTATGGTGTATAACATTTTTTGGATCTTGCTTTGCAGCGCTAAGTTTGGCAGGCTGTAACTCTAAGACAGATTATTCAAATGCCAAATGTTATATAACATTGAACTTGCAATGAAACAGAGATTAATATGTATTTTTGAAATTTCGAAAAATAGGCTATTTTTGATAAATGACATATCGAGTTTTCTTTCATTTGTATTTTTTGGACTTCAGGACCAAATTTTTTTGACTTTTTATTTCTTCAAAAAAATATTTGGCTCAGTATGCAAAAAATTAGGAAGGTGTTCTTTCTATAAATGCATTTATTTTACGTCACGATAACGGTTTCGAATAGTGATTTCGGGAGGGGAGCTTACAAATGGCGTGGTAAAGCTGCCTAGTGACATCACGGGTTACTGAAACTTCAATTCAAGTCTGAGTCATCTGAAAAAAGTGAAAAGAGGGTTCATTCAACCCTCTTTCCTATAAGCGCGAGGGTGAAAAAGGCTGTTTGGTTCTGACATTGTTTTGGACGCCAATGACCATAGCTGTCCGAGATGAAAGTTACAGGACGCATACATGGTGTCCTCCAGAGGTCTCACAACTTGTATATCTGGGAATTTTTCAAGGTTACTTGAGGTCAGGTCGGTCACGTGACATCACTGTTATAAATCAATGGGGAAATATAAAAACAGTTATTTTGGCGCCGAGAATGATCTAAAACTATCCCACGTACATGGTATCGTGATTTCATACACTCCTTGCAAAGTCCAATGCTTTACTTTTGCATTGTTAACCTTGCGTGACGTCATTTATGACGTCACTAGGGTCGTACGAGTTTTTCGTCAATAACTCCCGATCAAATGGAGCTAGAGAGTCGGGAAAGCCACCAATGGACTCGGGAAGACCTTCCGAATCGAATGATATGCCATATGATACCCTTTGCCCAGCTTCGTGACTTGAGGGGCTCTGACCTGACCTTGACCCGAGGTCAACTACTTAAGTTGACCTCACCCTAGCAAAAAGTATACCATTCGATGCACCTGAGCTAGGCGAACACAATGATGCCAAAATCGCGGCTCTGCGGCCATTTTTTGCGAAGTTATTTACTAAAAACCGAAGCCGTAACTTAAGTCACGTGACCTGACCTCAGACGCCACCGGTTAACCTGAGACCTTAAAATCGGGTACCAATCGCTGCGACTTGTAACGGCACACACGCTCGTTTTTTCCGCGAGGCTCTAGCTCTATTAGAAGCGAAACGGCGTGCTGGGGTCGTATCAACCCCTCCGAAACCCATTTTGTTTGCGGGAAAATGAGAAACTTATAGAAAGAACACCTTTCTAATTTTTTGCATGTCGATTTGCAATGACATGAAGATTATTTTGAAAAAATAAAAATGTGAAAAATTTTGGTCCCAAAAGTCATTAGAGGTAAATGAAAAAAGATTAAGGTTTTTGCTCAACAATGAAATTTTTTCTTTGGAATTCTTAAATAGTAATATTAATTTTTGATTCATCGCAAGCTTAGTGTTGTTTACTTTTTGTTGGTTGCTTAAAGGGATTATCAGGGTTTAAAAATTGAAAGGAATCGGCATAAATTTCCAATCAATGAACTCCCCAGACTCTGCCGATTCTAACGATATGCATAAAATGCAAATCGGTACCAAAATTTGCGAGATATAGCCGTTTCAAAATTGACAAAATTGTACTTACTCACGCAAAACAAGTACTTGGGCGGCCAAGTTGGCCCATCGCTAAAATGTAAACAAAGAGCAGCCTTGGGAAATTTCGCAAGGCCGCCGCTTGGCCGCCGCACCGCACTGGCGATTTCCACAAGACTGTTTTGTTTTTGTCTGTTGTTTTTAGGGCCTTGCAACAAGATTTCAGTGCTTGGCATTGAATTTGGATATGAACAAATTGAAGATTTGCTTTTCAATAAGACAGCAAGAGTTATCAACATTGCCAAAGTTATTATATGGGTGTGATTTGAATAGCTTGTTTGCTGATCATCAAAATCTTGATGTTAATATCATTTAAATGTCAACAATTTTCAAGGGTAAATTTGAGTGTTTTATTTCAAGTGCATCAGGCACAAGAGCTAAGTTTCAATCTGATTATTTTGTCAAGAGTGGTGAATCTAATGTAACGTCTTGCGAGAAAGCTTACCTAAGTGACTGAAGAAAGCGCTACAGTTTTTCAAAATCAATGTTGATCTGTTTTTTTTCGAACAACAGGTTGTACAACATGATGTGACATGACCTCTGTGCCCTGTACGTCACCCCTGCTGCTGCAGCAGAGCCCCGGCTTCAACTATAGTTTGTTATGGGTGGGCTCTCCGTGAACGTCTTGGTGCGTTTCTACATATTGTTGCTGTGAAAGGACTGTACATGAAAAAAATATGTAACTTGTATGTTTTTTATTGCCCTGGTACCTACTCAATGTATATTTTTGTTGTTTATGAGTGATAAATAAATATATTTTGAGGAAAATTGAGTCATTTCAGTTTTAGTTTGTGGAACAGAACAGAAGAAGCTGATGAGTGTGGATCATGCTTCAATTGAGAGAATCATCCTCAGTTATCTACATATAAGCATGCTTTGTAAGCTCCTTGCATTTTGCCAGCTTCTACTTGCTAGTCAAAGTTGTAAGAAGTGTTAGGGAGAACAATTGGTACACATGCCACCATGTGCAATCACCAAACGAATGAACGTGAGGGCCAAGTCCTTCACACAGCATAGATACTTATAGGTACTGCACTAATGTATAATGTTCATTATGTTCATATTAGCAACTCACCCAGGCAGCCTGCCTTGTGGTATTTCTGAGTTTAAGATTTTGCAAGACTCACACTAATCAATAAGGTAGGTAAATTATATTGATATGTATGGATGAACAATGTGCAAAGGGGTCGCACGTGCCTGCTCAGTGCTCAGCCATGGATGCACGTGCCTTCTCAACAATGGTCGTGCTTGCAGACATCTCCATGGACGAACAATGTGCAAAGGTGGGGGGGGGGGGGGCGTGCCTCCGCGGCCGCCTGTTGGCTCAGCCGCTGCTGCTGCTTGGCGCCGCTGCTGAGCGCTGCCGGAGACGCCGCTCGCTGCCGGAGCTGCCGGAACAGTCACCGGAGCTGCGGGAGCCGGGCCCGCCGCCCATCTGTCAGGACTGCCGACGGCAGCACGCCCGTCTGTCAGGGTCTGTCAGTGCCGGCAGTGGACGCGCGCGGGTGCGGGCCGGGTACGGACGCGCGCGGGTGCGCGCCAGGTACGGGTGCGCGCCGGCTATGGACGCGCGCGCGCTTGCGTACCGACGATGGGCGCGCGCGCGTGTATGCCGACCATGGCTGCCGCCCGCTGCCGGAGCTGCGGGAGCCGGGCCCGCCGCCCATCTGTCAGGACCGCCGACGGCAGCACGCCTGTCGGTCAGGGTCTGTCAGTGCCGGCTGTGGACGCGCGCGGGTGCGCGCCGGGTACGGACGCGGCGTTCCCGCCGGGTAAGGACGCGGCGCGCGCGCCGGCTATGGACGCGCGCGCGCTTGCGTGCCGACGATGGGCGCGCGCGCGTGCATGCCAGCCATGGCCGCGCGCGTGCGCCCCAGCCATGGACGCGCGCTAATGCGCGCCGGCGATGGGCACGCACGTGCCTGCTCGGCAATGGATGAGCGACGAGCGTGCCTTCTCGGAAATGAGTATACATGCAGACATCTTCATGGATGGACGCTTTCAATATGTTCAATGTGTTGAGACGGATCTGAGTAAATTGGAGAGAAACTAGGATAGTTTTAGTCCTGCTCAACTGGTTCTGCCAATAAGTACAAACACCACCTTGCTGCCAACTGCTTACCAAATACCGCATCTGTTGTACCCTTGCATGATGCATATGTACATACAGAAACAATTACAGTCTGTTGAAATCTGAAAACATGCACTGCTGAGCACTGTGGATGAATCTGTATGAACCGTGTGGCCCAGCGAAACCTTCTGGACCAGGTTATAATTGACAGTGAATTAGTAATCAATCCTTGTGAAGAAAAAATAGATGATTGTGCCTTAGATGAACATAATGAAGAAGCGTTCCTGAAGTTGAGTTAGTGGCTTTCCATCATCCATGCCAGATGGCCAAAACACACCATTTCAATACTGTCCCAAAAATATATTTCAAAACACTTATTGCATGGCTATACACACCAGCTTACTCGGTCACCACACTCAAACCAAGGCCATATAAGTAGACTCAAACACAGTCTACTGATACAAACGTCACTGGTCTCAAGTCTGTGCTCAATGCACCAGCTGTACACTACTCACAATACGTAAGGACTCAACGTCAGCCACCAATTTTCTACATCAAATTCACATCAGGTTTTCAAAGTAAAGTAACAATGTATGTGCCACTTCTGTACTTTGTGCTACAAACACAGAATAAATGATATCAGTCAGCAATGCATTGCTCATTGTCAGCCAGTATGCAAAGTCAGTCCGCAGGCTTTGCAAGTAAGTGCAAAGTCTGCGGAGATCAGTTGCTTTACACACCACCAATATCATGCTGCAATATGCTCAAAATATGCCCATACACCAACAACAAAGCACAACCATGAAGCACCACTGATAACACTTAACCTCAAGGCACACAACATGATAATTTATTTATTTTGAGTACCTACAGAAACAGAATGTCTCAAGGCCACTCATGCTCACTCCGAAATCTGCCAGTCGCTCAGCCTTGAACATTGACATTATTTCATCTGAAATCTATTTTCTTCACTTGATCAAAGTTGATCTGCGTCATACATCTTACAACGGATGTCTCGAATTATTGGTAACGTTCAGTACTTAGCATTAACATTACAAATGATAGGTAACTTTGGTTCAACGTTCCATCCAAGCTTCTTCATCGCTGGAGCTTTATCACTTTCAAGTTTAATTGCTTGAACTAAGACATTCTTGAATTACACTCGGGATGAGCTTAGTTTGAAAGCACACAACATAATTTTTTAATTATTTTGATTTTTGATAACCCACAGGATATCTAGAAGCTACACGCACTGGCTACAAAGCCCACAAGTCTTGAGCATTCAAATATGAATAGGAACAGCTTTGTTTCGCACAGATTTCGCACATGGCAGGATGGCGCCATTCCGTCCAACTCATACAGCCTCAGAAATTACAACAACACACTCAACTTACGGAATATCCGTCAAACAAATCTTATTTACGACGACACGAGCCAATGCTAACAACGCTTGCCAGTTGCGCTAGAGATATTGGAGTGGAGACGTCAGAGAAAAAAGTCTTTAGATTTCTCCCATTTCCCCACGTAACGTTGAACGGCCGTTGCGGCCTTATCTGGTATGCGACGGCCTTATCTGGCATAAAAAATATCTCTAGAAGTCTCTAGCTAATGTTAAGCCTATGGACTTATAGGGAAATGTATCCGAGTACTTGGTACTGCCTCCTCCAGGTACTGGCTGGCAGACGGATCAACTTTGGAGGCCCACCATTTGGAAATTAGGCAATTTTGAGACGAATGACTTCGGATTGGGGCCTCAGCCACCTTCTTCTACACGTTTCACTGAGTAACTCCGAAATTTCGGAAAAAACCCTGATAATACCTTTAACCCGTTCTTGAGTTATAGGCCATCAAACTAACCGTTACATACCGAATTTAAAAAAATGTAATGCAATATAACTCAAAAAGTTTTGATCTGAGAAGTCTGATATTTTGCCAGGCGTCTTTGGGGCCTATGATTACCCCTAGGACCGATTTTCATTAAAATCTGAGTGATGAGGGTGACGGGCCTGGTACGATCTATCGTGGAATGCCCCAGCTAGGAACGGGCACAACTCGAGACTAGGGTTCGGGAGCCGGGGAGTCGGTCGCGGGACGCACCTTTGCAGATGAGCGTGGCCTTGGTGGAGGCAGTGCCCCACTTGTTGGTGGCTCGGCACACGTACTCTCCAGAGTCGCGCGGGAACGTCCAGTCAATGTCCAGCACGATGAAACCAAAGTCGTCCATGAAATGCATTCTGAAACGCATCCGATTGGCGATAAGGCGCTGAAAGTCGCCAGGAATTCCGAAATTATATCAATTCAGACAATCAAAAGACTGTTCGAGTGTAAACCAATCCTCCAGAGAGCAGATTCTCGTAAGCCTTTACTGAGAAAAGCAGTCCACCGGTACACGCAGCCCACGCAGCGGTGCGGTGGTCGGCAGACGCTGGAACCGGCCTGACCTGACCCGAGCCGACCTCACCTGGAGCCCGTGTCCAGCGGCCGGCCGTTGAAGAACCACTCGATCCGCATGCTGGGGTCGCCGACCGGCTCCAGGCGGCAGTCGAAGTGGGCGGCGGCGCCCTCGTACAGCTCGTCCTGGTTCTTGAGCTCTGTGACGAAGCGCGGCGGGTTGGGCTGCTCCTCGGGCTCTGGCGCCGCCGGCCGCGGCTTGTGCAGGTCCTCCTCCAGCTGCCGGATGCCGGCCATGTCGTGCGGCATCTGCGGCTCCAGCACCACGTTCGACCGGCTCTGTGGACACGGCAGCGGGCCAGACCGGCAGATCAGCACGGGCCGGGGCGGCAGAGGTCAGCACGGGTTAGTGCAACGCACCGTGTGCGCACAGCAATCCCTGGTACATAGGGGAGAGTGGGGTAATTTGGCCGGTGGTGTAAATTGGCCGCCCCCACCTGTACGATGTCTAATAAAAGTGAGTGAAATAACTCTAGTCTCTATTAATTTGTCATGGGTAGAAATAACTGGAGGACAAATGTCAAAACTTTGCCCCTCGTAGTTTTATTCAAAATTAATAAAACGTTAATTTCATTAGAAAATGGTAACTTTTACTTCTGTGTAAAAAGTTGTATAACATGTAGTATTTGGGCTAAAAACGAATTCAGACATTATAGCGCCATTCTTGGGGGTGTTCAGCGGTTCCAAGAGCAATTTTATCTAATTCCGTATAGCCGTGATAACTTTATAGACAAAAAATTTCAGAATGGCAATATGGGGTAATTTGGCCGGGACTAGCGGGGCAACTTGACCGGTGCGCTCATGGTCACTATGCTGGGACGGCCGAGTTTTCATGGTCAATTGTACCATAAATGACATGATTCATGACCAACTTTGACTACTTTGATGCCTTACTTCCGATTGGTCAACTGTAAGAGCATGTGACGTCATCAAAGGTTACCAAACTTTTTTTTGCTAATAAATCCTTACATAAAATGGTACAGCCGCACAAATGGTCTCATTCTGTTCAGCTCGCCAAGGCGCATCGAATGATATGCATGATGACCTTGAAATCACGTGACCTTGAGGTCAAGCGACCTGATGCAACGTCACCTGAGGTCAACCTTTGACCTTGACTTCTCAAGGTCAACTTATATATCTTTCGATGCGGACTGACGAGAGAATTACGATGGTACTTGAAGTTTTGGCCTAGCTTGATTACTTCAAAAGTTATTCGTAAAAAAACTGTGATCGCATCTAGAGCCGCTAATTTGGCTATTTTGACCCCTGTGACCCCTGAGTCAACCTCCAAAATGCGGCAAATGCGTCATAGGACACACGTCATTGCTGAATCTGAAGCTGACTCGCAATATAACAGAAAATCCCGACCGCAAACTAACACCGGCCAAATTGCCCCACACCCCCGGCCAAATAACCCTGCTAGTGGGGCAATTTGGCCGCCTTGCAGACCTTTGTATTACGTCACAATTTCAATATAAGTAATTACTCTATCATTTCAAGTTCACTGTCCAGTAAAGTAAAATGAATGCAACACCTGCCAGCGTTGAGAAAATGCAGAAATGTGTCGTCACTTTTAAGTTATATCGTTTTCTAAAAAAAGCGGCCAAATTACCCCACTCTCCCCTACAGTCGGGGACTAAAATACGCCAAATCAATTAAGCCTTTTGACGAAAATGTCGTTTTAAATGTCATCACTAGAATGAAGCTAGGCTAGTTCTCTGCTCCATTTTCCGATCGCGTGAAGGTGCCAACTCTGGAACTGGAACGGGATGGGAGCCAGCTGTCCATCTGACACGGGTAACTGAATGCGTCCGAGGTCCGGCGGTCTCTGACCTTGATGGTGAGCGTGCAGGAGACTGTGGCCTCGCCGTGTTTGTTGACCGCCTTGCAGGTGTACAGACCGGCGTCCCGCTGGTAAATGCCGCCAATCTCCAGAATGACATAACTGCAAATCGGCCAAACATACGGGTAACCACTTAGATTATCACTCAACTACCGGGTACGTTTGGGTGTTTCTTCTCAGACCACCTTCTCACAAACCTAAATTAATCGAGTCGAAATGGGTGCCGTTGATAGTGTTGCATCGTATATAAAATAACACGATTAGCACATCATGTTGCGCCAGTCCTGGTGCTCCGGCGGCGCGTTCTCGGACGCGGTACCCACCCGAAGTCGTTGATGCTGCGGATGCGCGAGCCCGAGGAGAGCGGCCGGCCGTTGTGGTACCACTCGACCCGCATGGTCGGGTCGGCCGTCGGGGTCAGCCGGCACTCGAAGTGCGCCAGCTGGTTCTCCACCAGGCTCAGGTCGGTCGGCTGCGTCACAAACTTGGGCGCCTGGCCCTGAGGAGCAAACGCCATAGGGCATAGGTCACAAACGGCTAAACGTCGGGCTCAAATGTCTCAAATCATGTGATATTTGACCATCCCAGTAGCATAACTCTGTTAAGTGTCGCGCCACACAAGCAGAGGCGGTTCAGAGTCGCAGCCCTGAAGGCGTACGCCCGCTGGTTGGGAGGCGCGCGTCTCCCACCTCCTCCGACTCGGCCGGCTGCTCGGGCTTCACGCCCAGACCCTCCAGTTCGGCGATCTTCTCCATCGTCTGCTCCATGCCCTTGGGCAGCTGAGACTCCAGCACGATGTTCTTCTTACCTGCCGACGGTAGCGCACGGTGTCAGCTTTCGACCGATGACACTGAACGACACGTCATTATCATACGATCACGAGCAATTTTATCTGCCGTCTAAATTTAGGGCATGCATATCACCCATTATCAGCCAACCACTCCTCTACCAACCCACAATTTGAGCAATCAATAAACTGAACAGTATCTCAAAGACCCTACCAAAACAACAAACCAGAGAAGATAAACATCTACCTCGTCAAACTATCGGAACTCCATTTCTCCAAATGATAAGGCAGCTCCGTGCCCTCAGGCCCCCTCCCCGCCCGGCGCGCTCACTCGTGCACTTCATGGTGGCGGTGCTGGTGGCCTCGCCGGCCTCGTTGTAGGCGCGGCACGTGTAGTCGCCGCTGTCCTCCGGGTACACCGGAGAGATCTCCAGGATCACGAAGCCAAAGTCGCAGAGCGTGCGGTACCGGCTGGACGCCTTCAGCGGCTTGCCGTTGTGGTACCACTCCGTCTGGGGACGGCGCAGGGCGGGGCCCGGTCAGGTACAGCTAACGGCTCAGAGCGCGCGCCGAGGGCAAGTCACATAACAGGTCCTTCGAGAACAAAATAAAGAGCAGATTGCCTCATTGAGGAAGGATAATATTGCTGGAACCTCGAAAATCATGTTAATGCAGTTGGGCGCTGGCCAAAATGTAACACCAAGAAAACCAGGGGCGGCGCTGACCTATTGAAAGTAGGTAGGCACTTGGTAGGTAAGGCAGAAAAGCTGAATACGGAATAGGTAAACTAGGGGGGAAAAGACAGCGTTATTGCTCAGTCGGGATGAGTCAAGCAGCGACAGCAGCGTCATCTACAAAAACCATTAACTTAACTAGAGCTTACACGTCTGCCGCCAGAGGCAAGCTAGTCTCCCAGTAGGAGTCTAGTTCGTCCAATATAATTTTTAACAAACAATAGAATAACACAACAGACATAACAACGCTAGGTACCGTAAACTAATGATAAAAATTGATTACGTTAAATGTGTTTTATTTTATGATAAATGAACTTAATAAAAAGTTAAGTTTGAAAGTTAGAAGGTAGCACCTAGTCGATGTGCCGACCATCTAAACTTTTTCTACCAAAAGGCTCAATAGCCTCAACATGGCAATAGTTGATAATCTAGTAGGACGAGGTAGGCACAATAAGGCAAAGGTTTTTGTCAAGTTGTTGTTATAACACGATCTTTGTTTGACATTTTTTGAAAAGTTTAGGCAATTCTCTTTCGTTTCAACCCATTTTGAAAAACGAAAAGAAAAAGATCTTTAACAAAAGCAATCAAACAATCAAAAGCCACAGTCTAGTGAGGGTGTAGACACAGGGGAGACGACAAATGACGTAGGCACTGCCTACCTTGCCTATATGGGAGAACCGCCCCTGAAGAAAACCAAGCAATAATTCATACAATACTCCGTAAATCTTCGTTCAATGTTGTTCACCAGGACAAAAATGTATGTTTGATGTCAATGGTGACCATGATTAGACAGGTCTGGCAGTCAGCTCATTGGCTGACCTTCAGCGTCGGGTCGTCGGTGGGGGTGAGGCGCGCCTCGAAGTGGGCGTTCTCGCCCTCGCGCAGGTCGTCCACGTTGTTGAACGGCACGACGAAGCGCGGCGCCTGTTTGGGCTTGTCGGCGTCTCGCGGCTCCTTGATGCGGCGCGAGGCGTCCTCCAGATCGTGGATCTTGTCCAGCGCGCCGCTCATCTCCTGCGGAAGGCGCCGCCAGCGGTCAGCAGCGGCCCGAGCGGGACAGTGCACGGGAGACTGGTCAGCCGGGGCACTGAGAGGGGCGGCCAGCGTTCAACGGGCACATGGCCACTGCGATCAAGTCAACGTATAGGACAAACACGACTCACTAACACCGTTTTCTAAAAAAGATCACCTAATCTAAGATGTAGGAGATAAAATATGTAGGTGAAAACGCTTACTGTCTACTGTTCAGCCCTTATACCCAGGTCCTGCCGCGTTTCCCAGTTCGGCGACCCTTCTCGCGCAACTTACCTTGGGCATCTGCGGTGTGAGGATGAGGTTGGCCTTGGAGCCGCAGCGCAGCGTCGCCTTGGTGACGTCCGAGCCGACCTTGTTGACGGCGCGGCACTCGTACTCGCCAGAGTCCTCCGCGTAGCAGTACAGGATGTCCAGGATGACGATGCCGAAGTCGTGGAAGGTACGGAAGCGGTGGCCGGTCGGCAGCTTGACGCCGTTCCTGTACCACTCGACCTGGCCGGGGGAGGAGGGAGCGAGGTCAGACTCGACACGGCAGCCAGGTCACCATACAGTAACGTCCCGAGAGCGTAGCAGACAGAACATATTGGAGGAGACGGGCGATCTCGTTTGATTCAGTTGGACCCGATTTACGAGAGAACAGTGATGTATGTGCGTCAGGCCCAGCCCAGTGTCGCTTCTCCGCAGCCACCCTGCCGCAGGATGTGACCGGCGGCGGCGGCGGCAGTGCCCGGCCCTCACCGTGAGGTCGGGGTCGTGCACGGGCGTCAGGCGCGCCTCGAAGTGCGCCGAGTGCCCCTCCTGCATGGTGGCAATGTCGGCGATCTGGGTGACGAATTTGGGCGGCTCGAGGACGGCGGTGGCCGGGGCGCCGGGCCGCTGCGGCGCCATCTCCAGCTCGGAGATCTTCTGCAGCGACTGCGGCTGCAGCGAGTCGACGAACACGCCGCCGCGGCCGACGCAGCCCAGCGTGGCCGTGGTGCTGTCCGAGCCGTACTTGTTGGTGGCGCGGCACGTGTACTCGCCAGAGTCCTCGTCCTGCACGTAGGCCAGGTCCATCACCACGAACCCGAAGTCGGAGACGCACTTGATGCGGGACGAGTGGCGCAGCGGCACGCCGTTGTGGAACCACTCCACCTTCATGTTGGGGTCGCCGACCGGCACCAGGTTGCACTCGAAGTGCGCAGAGTCGCCGCCCTTCAGGCCCGTAATGTCCTGAGGGGCGCAAAGACAAATGTCAGGCAATGTCAGCACACGCGGTAGCTACACATATCAAGGCCGAATCTTAGGGCATAAAAATAACATCGAATTTACGGATGACTGCCACGCTAAGTCACCTTGATGGGCGTGATGAACTTTGGCTTCATGCCGCTCTCCTTGTCGACACACTCGAGGTTGACGCTGATCTCGGCCTGGCCCCACTTGTTCGTGGCGCGGCACGTGTAGGTGCCGCTGTCCTCGATCTTCGTGTCCAGGATCTCCAGCACCACCATGGCGAACGCGTGCACCGTCCGCACGCGGTGGCCTGGGGCGGCCGGGGAGGGGCGGGTCAGCGGACGAGCTCATACGACCAGTCAGTTTTAGTGGCACTTTGCGTAAGATCCCCACCGCGAAGAGGAAACACATTAATCGGGACAGCAACGAAATTTGAGAATTCACACTGGGCAGGAGAGCCCGCCACCCGCACGCTCACTGGCTTCCAGCGGCTTCCCGTTGTAGAACCATTCGACCTTCATGGTCTGGTCTCCGACGGGCGTCAGCGTAGCCTCGAAGTGGGCAACCTCCTTTTCGCTCAGGTTCGACAGGTTCTGGAACTGTGCGTCAAAACAACCGGTCAGATAACGCATGAAACACAGCATATGCATTGGAAGCGAGTCACATTAACTGAGATAACAACTATCATGAACGCTAGTCTAAAAGAAGTTGCACACCACAAAAGACCTTTTCAGTCTGGTCTTCAGTCAGTCAGTCGAATTAGTCAGGGGCGGACCCCATCCTCTCCGTGACCGGTACCGCACCTGCGAGGTGAACACGGGCGGGTGGCCCTCCTCGTCGGTCAGCGGCGGACCCTCGCCGCGCTTCCTGGCCTCCTCCATCTCCTGGATCGCCTCCAGGCCCATCTCGCCCTTGGGGTGCTGCGTCCAGTCGATGAGACCCGTCTTGCCTGTGCGCCGGACGGGAGGGGGACTCGGTCAGTCCGGAGACTGGATGGGCCGTCAGCGGGCCAGCCACAGACAGCAGACACGGTAGCTATTGCCACCAAACTGCCCGGAATAAACTGCCAATGCGGATAGCAGTTTAGACATGAGCTACGAGACAGTCCATCCGTCCACAGTACACAGCGTAGTAACTAGCTGGTCACCAATAGCGCAAGCGGTACCTATCCAGGACAGTAGCCCCCCCCCCCCCCGTATCCGCGGCGGTGCCGGCCGCTCACCCTTGCAGGTGACGGTGGTGGTGGTGAACGCCTCGCCGGCCTGGTTCCACGCGCGGCACGTGTAGATGCCCTGGTCGCGCGGGTACACGTCCGTCAGGTCCAGCTGCACGAACCCAAAGTCGTTCGACACCTTGAACCGCGTGGCTGGAACAGACGGAGCGGCCAGGTGAGTGTGGCCCGCCCGCGGAACCCCACGCCAAAACGCACCCAAAATACCCGGCTGCCGAGCCTTGGCAGCCTGCGCATCAAGTGAACATCAAGCTGAGACTCTGGCAGGGCGCTCACCGTGGGAGAGCGGCTTGCCGTTGAAGAACCACTCGACGTTCAGTTTGGGGTCCTCCTTGGGCTCGACGTTGCACTGCAGGTGAAGCGGCTCGGTCTCACCGAGCTCGAACTCGGGCTGCAGCGGCACGATGAACCACGGCTTCTGGAAGGCGCGGTCCGGCTGGGCGGCGTCGTGCGGCGCCTGCTTGCTGGCCATCAGCGCGTCCACCTCCTCGACCTTCTCCAGGCCGCGCGGGCCCATCGGGTGCACCGTGTCCAGGTAGATGTTGGCCTTGCCTGCCGGGTGCGTCAGGGTGCGGACGGGTGCAGTGTGAGCACCGACGGGGGAAAATACAAACAGCGAGAAACAGGCTCACATTCAAACGATCCCCCGGGCCGATAGTGCTGTATCGCGCTGTCGCGTTATCACACACTCACTCTTGACTTTGAGCGTGCCCGAGGTCTGCGCAGTGCCCTTGCTGTTGGTGGCCTTGCAGACGAGCAGGCCGGCGTCGTCGGGCTGGCAGCCGGCGATGTCCAGCGTCACGAAGCCGAAGTCGTAGTTGGACGTGTAGCGGGAGCCGGTCCTCATCGGCTGCCCGTTCCAGAACCACTCTGCGGAACGGTGACACGTCCTTCAGTTGGTGAGACTATACCGCAATCATGTCAACATCTGGGATGAAAATAGTTCACTTGATATACTTCAATATAATACCCCCAGAAATAACCAAACAGCTGAACCAGATATCGCCATCAGGATATGTTTACCACTGGACGCCACACCGCTACCACATATACCAAATGACGCCCGACCGGGCCACCCACCGATGGTCATGGTGGGGTCCTTGGCCGGCTCCACCTTGCACTCGAAGTGGGCCTTGTCGTTCTCGTTGCACTCGACGTTGTTGAGGTGCGAGATGAACACGGGGATGTCGTAGACGGGCTCGGGCCGCTCGGTGTCGGCCGGCGCCGGGCCCATCTCCAGCTGGGCGATCGCCGGCAGCGCCTCGGGCCGCTGCGACTGGCCCAGCAGCCAGTGCTTGTCTGAGGTCAGAGGTCAGGGGTCAGGGTTGGGGGGGGGGGGGGAGGGCCGCTGCGACTGGCCCAGCAGCCAGTGCTTGTCTGAGGTCAGAGGTCAGAGGTCAGGGTTGGGGGGGGGGAGGGCCGCTGCGACTGGCCCAGCAGCCAGTGCTTGTCTGAGGTCAGAGGTCAGAGGTCAGGGTTGGGGGGGGGGAGGGCCGCTGCGACTGGCCCAGCAGCCAGTGCTTGTCTGAGGTCAGAGGTCAGGGGTCAGAGTGGGGGGGGGGGGGGGGAGGGCCGCTACGACTGGCCCAGCGGCCAGTGCTTGTCTGTGGTCAGACCAGTAGTGGAATCAGGGATGTGTGGGATGGAAATTCAGTGCTCAAGTCCAAAGCATGACTGATAATAGTAGCCTATGTCCAATCAAATCAGTCGGATCGGAAAGACCTTTGGTTACAAATGGAAAACTCCTATCTGATCACTAATCACTTTACACCACTGTCTAGCCAGCCATCAGTCCTTCAGTCCCCCGGTCGGTAACCTCACCTTCCACCTTCAGCGTGCACGTGGAGACGGCCTCGCCCATCCTGTTGACGGCGCGGCACGTGTAGATGCCCGAGTCGTCGCCCCGCAGACTCATAATGTCCAGCGTAACCAGACCAAAGTCGAACGCCGTGCGCAGACGGGTGCCTGGGGAACGGGCGACAGCACAATCAGCACAGGTGACCGTGCGCAGACGGGTGCCTGGGGAAATGGGCGACAGCACAATCAGCACAGGTGAGCTGCAAGGAAACCAGATAGATAATTCGGAAATAACATTACCTACGTTTACCAGCAATACCGAAATTATCTATCGCCCGACTACCCACCGCTTTTCATGCTATTTTTCCTGATCCTGTCAGAACTCCCATCCAGTTTCACCACTCGTCCAAAGTCACCCACACACCCTTCACCATCAACAGACCCCCCCCCCCGCCACGTCGACTCTCCGCTCCCCACCGACACCCCTCCCTCCCCGTCTCCGCACTGACCGGTCATGAGCGGCTCGCCGTTCTTGCTCCACTCGACGCGCAGGTTGGGGTCGGTCTTGGGCTCGACGGTGGCCTCCAGGTGGACGCTCTGCTGCTCAGTGAGCCGGTCGTAGCTCTGCAGGTGCGTGGTGAACACGGGCGGCTGCTGCGGCCGCTCCTCCGCGAACTGCTCCGGCACCCGGTTCATCTCGGCCTCCTTCAGCTGGATCTTGTCCCAGGCAGACGCGTGGATCGCGTCGCCCAGAATGCTGCTGCGGTCTGCCGGACGGACGGTGGCGATCGTTCGGCGCGTGGTTTTAGCTTCATGCGTCGTGATTCGTACAATGTTGCTCATTACGTGTAAAATTTGGTAGGCTTAAACACACAAGATGCAGCACCTTTCGGTCCAGTCAAATCCAAATCTTTTGGAAAATTATCGCTTATGGTTGAGTTTACTGTCAAAGATTAGGAACATGTTTTTAATCACCGCTCCATTATGCTAACGACCCCTCCGTCCCCTTGGCTCGGGCTGCGCCATCCGGCCCGTCCAGGCCGCCCCAGAGACAGGGTTGAAGGCCAGCTCGCCCAGGACCGGTCCTCGCCTGCCCGTTCCGACGTACCGTGCACGTGGATGGAGGCGGATGTGACGGCCTCGCCGGCCAGGTTGGTGGCGCGGCACATGTAGACGCCCGCGTCCTCCGGCACCACAGACATCAGGTCCAGCGTCACGAACCCGAAGTCGTGCGTCTCCTTGATGCGGGAGCCTGCCGGGGGCGGTAAAGACCGAGATGCTCAGAGGCTGGGACCTGAGGCATACGCAACGGCCAGAGGATATAGCTGTGGATATCATACTGAATCGCCCATTTGCTTTTCTGGGATATTGCCTTCACATTCCTTCGAAATCAGATACAACGAAAAATCCACTTTTTACGACCATCGCAACAAAATGGATAACGCCGAGACCGAGAGCGTACCGAGTTTTAGCTCTTTGCCGTTGCAGAACCACTCAAACTTGAGGTTGGGGTCGCCGACGGGCACGCAGCGCGCCTCGAAGTGCGCGTGCTGCATCTCGATAATGTCGGCCGGCCCGGTGAGCGGCATGGTGAAGACGGGCTTCTCGAAGTGCTGCACCGTCTCGGGCCGCTGTTCCGGCACCCGCTCCTCCAGAGCCTTCAGCTTGGGCATCGAGGCCGGGTGCTGCGTGTCCAGGATGATGCTCGCCTCCGCTGCGGGGAGATGCAGAGCGGGGCGTTAGTGGTTTGTGGGTGGTCGAGTACCCATGGCATTTAGGGGGAGGTAGGAAGAAATTACGCTATATTTGCAACCTTTTCCATTATCCTAATGCCTACTCATACTTCGAATACACATGTTTCCCAACATACCCCTCTACCTTTTCAGACACCCATTTGAGCCCTCACCCGCACTGACAGTTATTCTTCAGGCCGATCACCAGTAATAGCCGGTCCATATCTGCAGCCGCTCACAAAGGGCTGCGCACCCGGCCAGAATCACAGCGGGTGCGGACAGAGTTCACACTCAGAGCGGTGCGGACAGAGGTCAGACTCACAGCGGATGCGGACCGAGGCGGTGGTGACGGCCTCTCCGAGGTCGTTCCTGGCGCGGCACGAGTAGACGCCCTCGTCCTCCGGCCGCAGACCGGCAATGTCCAGCGCCACGTAGCCAAAGTCGTGCGTCGGCTTGAAACGGGAGCCTGGAAACAGCCGACCGAGCAACTGTGCGTAAACCACATAGGCAGCCTTAAACCACATAGGCAGTATTTTACTGACGAAACTACTTATTGTCTGACACTGAGGACTAACGGGCAGTATTTAACAGGCTTGAAGTGACAAACAGTTCCCATGGTCATTAAATATGGCCTATGAGCTCATTCTGCCCCTGATTCCAGAGTTGCTCCACAGAATTGGCCGACCTTATCCTCCCGAATATCCAATATCCCCGTCCTCTCCGGCGGCCGACTCACCGAGCTGGAGCGGCTGTTCGTTCCTGAACCAGTCCACCGTCAGCCGGGGGTCGCCCACGGGGATGAGGCGCGCCTCCAGGTGCACCGCCTGGCCCTCGCTGACGTGGTCCACGTTCTGCAGCGGCTGCGTGAACATGGGCTTCTGGTAGGTGACCACCTCCTCGGGCCGCTCCTGGGGCGCCTTCTGCTCGAGCGCGCGGATCTTCTCCAGACCCTCAGGCCGCTGAGACGCCAGGATGATGTTGTCCTTGCCTGGAGGAGAAACACACCCCGAAGAGTGAACAAACGTCCTTTGGTGTCGATTGTAGCTGGTGCGCACCTTCTTAATCTCTAAAGCTCTTATAAAATGCTTCCAGTAACAAAGGGCGTTATCCTTTTTGGTGACTTATCGAAAATGTCTGCACGGAATTCAGAGACGTCAACCGTTTGGAAACTCACAAATTTTAGCAGTTGAAATACCGCAAAATTACATTGTAACACTAACTTACTGGAGTTCGGCGCGTCCCACCACCGAATTGTACCCACCGAGAACCTCGATGTCCATGCTGGAGGTGGCCTCGCCCATCTTGTTGACGGCCTTGCACGTGTAGTGGCCCTGGTCCTCGGGCACCAGGTCCTTGATGTCCAGCGACACGTAGCCAAAGTCGAACGTGGTGTGGAAGCGCGAGGCAGACTGTAGCGGCTTGCCGTTGTGGAACCAGTCGACGCGCAGGTCCGAGTCGTGGATGGGCTCGATGCGACCCTCGATGTGGGCGGCGCCACGCTCCGCCAGCTGGGTAGGGCCCTGTGAGACGGCATATACCACACAGTGGTCAGCAGACTTGTCGAAAAAAATAAGGAAGGTAGCGAAAACAAAAATAAAGGACAATTTCCCGTGCGCCAGTAACAGAGTTACACTCCATGACAGTTCTCCTGCTCAGGGCAGTATGGTAACCACTAACCGGCCTTAATTTACTACGTCGTATGGCCAGCGAATTTGTCAGAGAATGGACAAATAAGTACGAAGAGTGGGAGCGAACGCCATGGCCCATTTTGACGACATAATATCGCAACTGACCCGGAGCTCCTGGACGAAGCGCGGCTTCTCCTTGGGCGCCTCGACTTCGACGGCCCGCTCTGGCTGGCGGCTCTCCAGGTCACGGATCTTCTCCAGGCCCTGCGGGTGCTGCGTGTCCAGATAGATGGAGCGCCGCTCTGTGGGGGCAAACTGGTCAGTGACGGCCGAGACGTGAGCACGCGGCAAGACGCTCATTATGTCTAGGGCCTAGACTCTACATACATAGGGATGGTAGGTGGCGAAAACAAATGAATAACGAACAGTGTGACGTGCATACTGCATATCCACCCGATCTGAGCTAGCTCTCACATGAATAATGATTTAACACGTATGAATGCAAGTAAAGTCCCAGCCAGCCGACAATTTTATACAGGTGACAGCCAATAGGGCACTCCTGACGAGTTACGGGATGCGCGACTCGCGGATACAGATGACAGCGCCCTGGCGCCGACGGTCGCCGACCTCCGTCACGTTTTTCTCTGGCGGTGCCGCCTTACCTCCGACCTTGATGGTGCACGTGTTGACGGCCTCGCCGACCTCGTTGGTGGCCTTGCACATGTAGGTGCCAGAGTCCTCCGGGTAGCTGTACAGAATGTCCAGCGCCACATAGCCGAAGTCGTGGGTGGTGCGGAATCTGCACACACACCGCGCGGAGTCAGACAGGCAGATAACCTCTCATGAACGATAAACAGGGCTGTGATGTTAAGCCATCCACTGGGGTGGTAGACTGTGCCGCAGTGCAGCTGTGCGCTGCGGGGCAGCGGGTCGTACCGGCAGTTGGCGATCACCAGGGGCCGTATTCACGTCACATATTTTCGTAAGAATTTTCTTACGTTTGACCTACTTCTTAAGTAATTTTTTTTTTAATTACGTGAACTCCGTCGATAAAAACTTAAAAAGTGTCGACGTGAATACCAAACTGTACTTACAAAAGCAAATCGACTTACGAAGTCGACGTGAATACGGCCCCAGGTATTTTTAATGCGGCGCAGCGTGAGGGGACAATTGTCCCATGTACCGTGATGAAGTTGTCCCCGTAGCAAAGTTCCTCCCCGGTCGGGATGGCGGTGTGTTCTCACCTGTGGCCGGTCTTGATCTCGCGTCCGTTGACGAACCACTCGACCTTGAGCTTGGGGTCGTTGACCGGCTCCAGGCGACACTCGAGGTGGGCGTGCTCGCCCTCGCGCAGGTTCTCCAGACTGGAACGAGGCGGCACCGCCCGGTCAGCACCCAGACGCCGCGCTCAGAGGCACCGAAATAGCGGACCCCGCGCCGCGCCGGCAGCCGTTGGGAGTTCATGGCTGTGACGAAGTGCCGCGCCGGCTCGCGGCTCTGAGAGGCTGCCAAGCCGCTGCCCGCTGCGGGAGGGATAACTGCTCCCTGGAACCGGGCTAAGACCAACTCCACCGAACCCAGGAAGGCACGAGAAAACCAGATGGCTAGCTACAAAGCATGACTCGACCAGAGTCTTATATTTAGTTCGTGTTATAGGGTTGGTAGCGATTAAAAGGTAACAAAATTGTTAATTGTACTGGCTAAAGAAGAGGATGTTTACTGCATGTTCTATGACCATCTTCGGCGATTGACATAGCGATCTGATTTTGTCCACTATCTTACTTCTTCAGCGGCGTGACAAAGACGGGTTTCTGGGCGACCGGCAGCGGCTCCTCCTTCCTGGCCGGCGCCGCAGACTCCAGCGTCTTGATCTTCTCCAGGCGGGCGGCGTCCAGCGTGTCCAGGTACAGACCCTGCTTGCCTGGAACACAAGCACGGGGGGTGAACCACCGCTCCGGGGCGTGGTCAGTCTGCGACACGCCGATACCTGCCGCTAGACCTTGGCAGGTAAATACCGTAGGGATGTTTAACTCCACTTCGCTGGGCTTTCCCCGTGACATTGGACAGGGGTCGGGAGCCGGGGCCAGAAAGGCATTGTCAGAGGAGGGGCGGTATTCCCACCTCGCAGATAAACGGCCCAGCGCGGCTGAACTCTTGAATAGGATAGAAGTCCCTCTCGCCGGATGTCGCACTGTTCCCGTGGCCAGTGAACTGATGGAGCCAGTAACGCAGTCCGACCCAGACAAGCTCACCACACTCGCACCGACCCGGGCCGGACCGACTCTCGTCCCGGAGCGCCAGACACCGCGACCCTGACCCCACACCGACCGGTGATCGTGTGACCTTTGCGATCACCAATGAGCGAACGCGCCGCACGACGTGGCCGAGCGCCCGCAAAGCAGGCTGCACCGCAGCGTTGCCCGGACGGCCTGGCGGCTGACATAGGCGGCGGAACTTGGAGGGCACCGGGGTTTCGTGCCCCCTTTGATTTTGACATTTTAACATTAGCCCATATGGGCGTTGCATGGAAAGAATGGGACCAAAAGTCGGCAGTGCCCCCCCCCCCTAATTGAAGGCGTTCCGCCGCTACCGGCGGCTGATACAAGATGTCAATCGGACCAATAATGCACTTTTACCTGATGTTTGAATTGAACGAACGACTATCGAGCTACATACTAGCAGCATTTTCGCTATGCCGTGTTGCGTAACGTTATGTTTCCGCTCAGCCCTGCAGAGCGGCGCAGTTTTGTTCGCCATCTATTTTTTGCCGGTTTCGTTCTCCGACGTTTGTGTCGGTTTGGCTGGGCGGTATTTCGGTCGGTTTGGGTGATGCCGCCGCTGAGGGACGCCCCCTCACCCCGGACGCCTGGGGGTGACTCCACCGGCGCGGAATGCCGGAGTTTGGCAGCCACCGACCGGAGCTGCCGCAGCTCCCCGTCATAGGAGTGCGGAGAGTGCGGAGGACGGCGATCCACCATCCGACTGGCGGCCGCTGGCACCAGAACACACGTGTTGGCAGAACAAAAAGAAGCTGCGGTGACACACGACGGTCATCGTCGCCAGCCATGGTGTGGTCAAAGGGGATCCGTGGAGCAGGTGGGCGGGAGTTCGACAAAGGAACGGACGCACCGCATATAACCCGAGTGCAGCGGAACGGTAGTTACGGCAGGAGTTACGGCACAGTGACCGGCCACACAGACCACACAGAGGGCCGTCAGAGCGCGTCCGGCCGGCCCACCGACAGTGACGGCAGGCGTCCGTCCCGCCCCCGCGGTCCGCCACGCTCAGCTCCCATCCCGCCCGATCACAAACAATCCCCGGCTGTCTGGTGGCCATACACAAACAGCGGCTCCGTTTGGGAGACGGGTCCGACCCCGGCGACCAGGTCACGGCGGCCGGGCAGGGGGCCAGCGACACGGCACCAACACAGGTGGGTCTGTGCAAACACTGCCGGACGGGCTTAACGACCGAACCGGAGCGGCGCTGCGGCCTCCTGTCCGACAGCCAGAGCCCCAGCGGTGGTTTATGACTGTGGAGACGCGGCCCACGCGCGAGCCGTGACCCGTCTATCTCGCCCTGTTCCATAAGTGTGGGGATGAGCTCATCCGAACAGTGGGCCTCTGCGGCCGGCGCTAATGGGGGCGTCCTGTTAGCCCGTCAGACCTGTCACCAGTTGAAAGTGCCCTCCGGCGGGCTGAGTCAGAATGCTGGACAGGTGTTGCGTGGCCGAACAGCGGTGTCAACCCCCCCCATTGGCTGGGGAGGGGTCGACTTTTCGCAGTAGCTGTCGACTTTTCGCAGTAGCTCAAAAACTAATCACGCCATCGTCCTAAAGCTAACTATAGCTTTTGCTTTAAGTTGTTATCGTTTGGGCATAATCTGAATTTGTCAATGTTTCTTTAAGTTAGGACTGTGACGTCACTTCACGCCAGTTTCGCCCGAAAAGTGGCATAAATTGAATCAACAGGCGTAAGTACCTACCTATCTATTTCATTACAGCTTTGTAGATAAAAAACTTAGACGTCAACTATAATGTTTTTCATGATGACTATCTCAATTTTTTTTTCTCAAAAACTAAGCTTTGTTAAAAACTTGCCTAAAAAGCTTGATTTTTATTAAGTCCGTGTGTATTATCAAGTTTTTCATCTTTGCGATGAGTTAGGTAGGGTATACCTAATATATTACTCGTCATCGCCCTCGATGGCAGACTCGGCCGAACGAACTGCCAGCTCGCGGTCCTGTCCCCCCGTCAGCACGCCGCGGGCGGCGGCGCAGTGTCCTGCCGATGTGTCACAGCCGTCCGGGACCGGTCGGCCCGTCTGACGCTCAGACAGTTGACGGATGGCCGATCGGACGGCGGCGGCGGGCGGCGCGGTGACGGGCCACGTCAGTGCCGGTCTGGCCGCCGCGCCGGCCACAGACCCGCCGACGCCGGGTCCCGACACCCCAGAGGGCGGCGCCGAGCACAGCGACCGGGGCCACCGGATACCCAGGGAAACACTGCAGGCCGCCCACAGCGACCGGGGCCACCGGATACCCAGGGAAACACTGCAGGCCGCCCGAGAGGCGTCACCAACCAATGTGTCTCTCACTGTATAGCGTCTAACATGGGAGCACTGCTGTGACAAAACTATCTCCTGCCCACCTCAATTCTACCGTTTGTTCCTAGATGGCACTAGTGGTAAGCGCCTGAATACATACTGTGCCGCACTACAGGGTGCGAAGAAACTGCGGAAAGTGGGCGTGGGAAGACTCAAATGTGATCAATTTGTATACCTTCTTATTAACGTACGTAGGACGGATATTACGGTTCCCTGACGGCTGACCATTTTTGTGTCGCGTTTGCTCGCCTAGTGCCTATACTCACATGTTTACCAATGTAGTGACTAGTGGCTGTGCTGGTTGGAGTGTTGAAACAAACTCACATATGTAACACACGCATTTATTCATAGCAAACCCAAATCAGAGAAATACGGAGTGAAAATTCCCACAAGCCACTTAAAGTTAAACAATCATTCTACGTGAGCCATGCATACCTACAATAAATCGGTATTTCGGCTACTTGCCGGAAAAGCAAGTTCGCGAGTGAACCACCTGAGCGCAGTAGCAGTTGGGCTCGAAATGCTCTCCCATGGGAAGAAGGCAGTTAAAAGCTGAAAACAAAACAATGCCATTATCACAATCCTAGCTTGAAAAATATAACTGCAAAGTTTCTTGACCACATCAACAAGACATAAGCCGGAAAATAAGTTACGCGCCCACACTTGATCCGTTCATTCTCACGAAAACGAAAAACAATTTGTCAAACAAGTTCCTTTAAGCACAAAAAAACTACATAAAACTAACAGCTTCGTCGTTCGGAAAACAGCGCGTTATGTGCAAAGGAAACTTGCAGTGACACAATTAGGATAACGTTTACAACCCACAGTAAAGGTAACAGAGCTGACATTCATCATACAAGAGCTGTCGAAAAACCCGTGCAAAATAGCAAGCCCAAGCTACGTCCAATTTTACAAAACGGGTGTCATGCACGGCGAAAACAAACTGTTAAAAGAACCATGCTTAACTTAGCACGAAGGGGACAAATAAGCTCATCGGGCAGAACAGCTATTCAAGGTTCAGCTGGAGAAACAAACATGAGGCCCAATTGCTCGTCGAAATTCCCAGAAATGATAGAACATATTGTTGCTAAAGGCCGTTAGCTGTTCCAAACGTCCGAGGCCCAAACAAGTTCACTCAGACCGCGGGCCACCAGCGAAGGGCAGGGAGCTCGACCTCGGCGGTACCGTTTTGCCGCGCCCTCGGTATGCCCACTTTGACCTCTGTCACGGTCGGCGTGTCCGACATTCCCGAGAGCGATGACGCCCGCTGGCAGCTCATCGTGGCGTCAGCGCGGCGGACGACCCCTCGGGTGAGGCGGACGTCAGGCCTCCTCCGGCGACGGTGGACGACATCAGGTGCTGTTGGCCGCCCCGGCCGGCGGCGGCGGGGAGTAGAGGGCGGCCAGCGCGGCCGCCTGCGGTCCGCCCACCACCGGGCAGTGGAACGCCGGCTGCTGGGGGTGCAGCTCCGGCCAGAGGGCCGCCGGCCGGAGCCACTCTGCGCTCTGGCCGCCGGCCGTGCGCCCCGGGCGGCCCCAGTCCGAGCTGAGCCACCAGTCGGCGCTCGGCGGCTGGCCCCAGTCGAGCCCGGGCCAGGCGGCCACGGAGTGCCGCCGGTCGGCGGACGTCTCTCGGAGGGGCGCGCGCCGCGCCGGGAACGGTGACAGCCGCACGGGGATGATGTGCTCGCGCCGCTGCTGGGACGGCCGGGCGCGGCTCTCCTGAGCGGTCAGGGTGTGGGAGGCGCTCGGGGCGGCCGACTCTGGGACCAGACGTATGGGGATCACATGCTCCCGGGGAGTGCGGCACCGCTCGTCTGCAGAGCGCGCCCGCTGTATGGAGGCCGATACACGCTCCGGCGCAGCTGCAGAGCCAGCACGTGGAGGGATCGTTGTGGGCTTGATGGTCTCTCCAAAAACGGGAGTTGTGGTACGTGGTTGTACTTGCGAGTTTCCTCCTAAGATTTGCTTCCGTGATGTTTCGTGTGTTTCGGACATTGACTGGAAACATTTCTCTTCTGTTGTTGTTGTAGAGCTCGTTGAAGGAGAGCGCGTGAATGACTGCTGATACGACTGGCTGCTCTTTTCGGCAGCATCAGTCTCCCGTGTTCCTGACTTTGTTTCCTCAGACGTCTTGGACCTATGGAACGTTTCTTGCCGATCAACAACTGGCTGTGAAGGTGATTGTACAGTTGGGGCGATGAAGATTCCCGGGTTTCTCTGACGCTCAGATCCTTCTCTCGACTTTCCTGTCATTGACTGCTTAAGTCCCTGTTCGAGGTAACTTGCTCCAAGTTCCTTTGGTATTCCCGATTGTGATC